CAAAGGAATGGGTATGTTTTTCGTCCTACGAAGAGCACATTCTTCGAACCCGAATAATCTTTTATCGATTGCTCTAATTGCCCCATCATACCCTATTGATTTCATCCCTGTGTAATAATAATCTGGGACTTTCTCTCCTCTCACCTCTTGTAGAGAGCAGAGTGCATGTGCCCGCGGTCCACACTCTTCGGTCTTCATTGAGATTTCCATGTACTGTCTATGTTCCTTCCTTTGTGGAAGACCTAGACAACCCGTTCTAAAGTAGCGAAGTCAATACGAAGAAACACAAGGAGTCATGCACGAGATTCCCTTCTCCACTATAGCATCAATCGAAATAGAAGCGCGTGACCGAATCAGTCCGGCCGACTCCCATTAACCTAATTCATTTAATATGGGTCACTAATGCATTCGATCTTAACGTAATTTGTTGCATATAATTATCTTGAAACCGACTTCCAGTTTCAGAAAACTGTCAGTTAAGAAGACGGAAAAGGTCCTAGACAAGCCTAGAAAATCGGGTCCAGGTGGAAATCGTAGCATAGTTTGCAAGTAACGGGATATTATGGATATAATAATTGGGGTATCTTGACAATTCAGAAGAGTAGGTCTTCACAATTTCGTCGGAACGAAGAAACTAGGTCCAACATGAAGAACATAGGATTCAAAAGGTCAGACGGAGAGGGGGCGGATATGGTCAAGAGGAGAATGCCCACCTTACAATTGGACTATTCTCTCGTGAGATTATCCACATCATTGTTAATGATGTCGGGGCATTTCAGGAGATCGAGAAGGCTCATATTTTTGGACCAGTGTGGAAGTAGTCCTATCTACGTCCCGACTTCAGACTCCCCGAAGGTGTAGTGACCCTGGACAGTCTTGAGCTGCTGTTGTCCTCTTTGGGGACATCGTGAGGGTCGGTGCAATTCCATTATTTACCCGTGACGGGACTGAAAGTCGCTGGTGACATACAGAACATTTCCTTCGACGGAAAGTCTAAGACCGGCTATAATGTAGATGTCATTATCACGTGGTTTTATTTTGTTCTTCACGTTTCATTTCCGGTGTGTCGGGGGGTGCGCATATGGTCAATTCTAGGGAGAGCCAGGGGCGTCCCACAGACCTACCGTCTAAACGTTATTCAGAAATTGGGAATTAAATTATAGAAATTCGTTCCTGTTAGTATCTTACTTGTACAATATTTACAAGCAAGTTTCCGAGGAACCTCCCATATGTGCCATATGTTTGGATGGAAACTCATGCGGCATGCGGCATGCGGACTAGTCGCCCGGATAGCTCACGCTCGAATAAACGTGTAGCAAGGAGGCTCGAAAGGGACGACATCTTTGACTTTCAATGAAGAAATCTCACATTCATCAGGAGAATCAACATGCACACAAAATGTGACCCTTCTGGGGATCCTGTAAGATTCAGCAATCATAATCTTCGTATTAGGTACTGACAGTCTGAGTCAGCGAACCTTCAATATATCCACTTTGCTCGAATCATTCTGTGCTGCAGTTACAGTCAATATTTTGAACTCTATCTCTGACATTCGGTACGATATGAAGGAAGCTGAGATGTACATTCAATCAGCGTCCACACTTACACATTTGATATCGTTTCGTGCTCATAAGTGAGAATAGGTAAAATTTGAAACCAGTTTAGCTCGCATTAGTGAGCCAAACATCATGTTCAAGGAAAGTCGTTTAGGAGAATTCATAATCGTCCCAATGCATTCCTAGAGTCAGCATTATTTCTGGAAACGACCAAAAAAATTGTCTTTATTAACCCCATTATCTCTTTCATTGAAGAAAAGCATTCCATGGTCAGAAAAAATAATATATTGATGCGTCATATTAGACTCCACAAGAGAAAGGTGTTATGTAGCAGTTTAGTCCAAATCGAGTGTCCGTCCGTGATTAGTGAATACAATGTAGTGTAAACCACCTGGAGTGGTTATTATTTCTACAGTATAAAAATAAAATATAAGCTTTATTTGGGTTAGAAATGTAAAATTTATCTCATAAATGTGAACTTATGCTTTCTGTACATCAAATTGAAGGGCACATAATTATAGAGAAACTTCAAACAACAATCAAGGGTTGATACTAAAGTTTTGGTCCTTTCAACCGACTAAGAGGCAGCGAACTGCGATATTCATCGATAATCTAATTAACCGCTATGATTTATAAAGAGCCACTCTATTAGTGTGAACGAATAAAGTATCTGATAATATAAATATTAGTAACCCGATTGGTGCATATAGACCTCATCCTTTCAGAATGACAATTTATACAGTATATTAGTTGTTGGTGCATATTGGTGTAGTTTTACAATGATGCTGAAGGGTCACAAAAAGTCCGTCATCGTATGGATATGTCTTCTGAGCATAACATGATGCCTTGTGCATGATAGAGTATCATCTCACTGCATTTTGCCTACTTCATCAAGCTAAGAAGAGACAAGCTATACTAAATATAATTAGTAAATGCAAACACACGAGAAAATCCCAGCCACAAGTACGATTCGAAGAACAGTATGCTGAAACCAATGAGCGATAAACACAGGTACACGTGTTGAATGACTGGTGGGAGACATGGAACTTGGAGCCATATCAATAAGTTGCAAGTTGTCAATGGCTGGATAGATTCAAGGAGCCGTGTTACGCAATCCTGGCCGAAGATGAAGAGAAATACGTAACAGGGTGAACAGAGACACATTCATATTTATACGTACCAAAGTGAACCAATTTACCGTTGTTTAACCGCCGGATGTCTAAACTCAAAGTAACGGGGTCGATGAAAGTGGTCATAAAACACAAGTTTTATTCATTCTATTGTATTGGTTATAATAAGAACTCTTGCGTTGGAATAATAAATCTTCTTTTTTGAAATGTTTGATTATTATTTGGAAAGTTCGATGTTATGATATTCAATGCTTTAGCTATCCTTCTTTTATCTCTTTACAATGAGCACAAGTAAAAATAAATATATTTTCCACATATATTTCATGGAACGTTCGTCTTGTTTCTAAACTTGGATTTATCGGGTGATATTTCTCATTTTCATGAGTACTAGCCGATGTCACGCCTTTGGTTTATTAGGATATTCCTTATTTTCTATTCTCTCTTTGCTATATTCTGAAGTGCTGTCCAATCACAAAAAGTGCAGTCGAGATAGGATAGGGAAGAAGTACAACAGACGTGGGAATGTTGTTGATAGTCAGTATAAATCGTTTGGCTATGACGATTCGTAGATATGCAAAGTTATCTGCAACTCGAACTATGGGAACTCAACACATAACCCACAAAAGCTTCCAAACCCAAGGTCACCTGCTCTTGAGCGCTTTTGGAAGCCACTTCCGAGTCCCCACAAACGTCACGGAGGGACGCTTGCATGGACGCCTTGCATGGCTCGCTCGTACCCCACCACCACCCAGAGGACATTTGGTAGGTATTTCGAGAAAAGGGACATGAAGATAGACACACTACTGATAGCAGCCCTTTGTTGCCCGAGAGATTACATCAACGGAGGTTACAATCACCAGATTGTGTCACGTCAACCGCAGCAGCGATTTGACCCCAACCATTCGCGAATAACTGTTTTTGGCAATATTCATATTATCCTGTTATTTTGGATCGATAGCGGTTGAAACAGGGGGAATCCGTTGACGAGAAGAATAAAGTAACGCAGCAGGAGTCAGGGCTGCCCTCGTCACTCTTGCTCCGATGGACGGATGGATGGAGCTTCGGCATGTTAGGTCGTCGAAATACATCCCACGACGCGGCACCCTTGTCATCCATGGATGGAGGTGGAGATGGGAAGGGCACGAGTAATTCAGTGAAAAGGACGGGAACACCCTTTCCATGATTTCCATGTGAAAACGTAGGGTTAACATGAGCTTAGGAATAGGTTCAAATAGGATCTCAATACAAAATAATTCACATATTATATATATGTGAGAAACATTTAGGTCAAACTGTTTAACAAATTCCTCTTCCACTGATCACACTAGGTTGTGCTTTATGAGAAACATGCTGATGTTAATAGGTCACACTCTAACGTAAAAAGAATGATACCTCATGCCACTTAGTACAGTGGCGTTAGAGCATTCGCTATTTGACATGTCAAAGTCAACTCCTTAGATGAAAGTAACCAAAAAAATTACCTTTGTGTGTCACCGCCCATCAAGAAATGGAAAGTCACTCCTTTGAAACTGCTCACGCTTCTCACTCAGGATAATAAAACATCACTGTCAATATTTGGGTCCCCAAACAGGTTCATACTTACTTCAACCTCAGTCGATTGCAAGACATATCACATCCAAGTGAGACCCATTCTCATGAGCCCGAACAAAAACATGAGACCAATCATCAAGCATCCGAACAGGTAACAAGTGAACACTTCACGTAAATTTTTTTCATGCATTAAGTGCTCACTTTAATCACTCTTATGTAATTTAATTTATGTATGTATAATTTATATCGCGTTAATGAATATATTAATAGATTAATTCAATAATTTTAGCCCTATATTTTGAATAAAATGAGACCTTTCATCAAGCATCCCAATAGGTAACAAGTGAACACTTCACGTAAATGTTTTTCATGCATTAAGTGTTCACTTTAATCACTCTTATGTAATTTAATCTATATAAGTTTAATATATATCGCGTTAATTAATATATTATTAATTTAATTTAGTTATTTCAGACCTATTCTTATCATACATAATTTAATTAAGTAAGTATAAACCGGTGTGAAATAATAAATCCGAATAGTTTGGAACGGAGGTACAGAACCCCAACATGCACACTTGCTAATGGAGTAAAAGGCGGAGCAAGTTTATCCATTGGAGGAGAAGGGGGTGGAGGAAGCATGACGGAGAAGCAAGTCGCCGAACATATCCCCACGACGGGACGGGAAGGAAAGTCCCCGCCAGCCCGCCCGCCCGCCCGCCGGAGGCCGGCGTCCTGGTCGCGGCAGCATCTCGCTCTCCCGCGTTCTGCGAGAGCCTATGGAAGCTCCCATGGGAGGGCAGTGACTGACAAGAGGGCGCGGGGCACCTGGCCCCGTCATCCACCTCTCCCTCGGGGATAGCAGAGGCGACTCTGTCGGTCTGTCTGTCTGTCTGCTTGCTGCTACTGCTGCTGCTGCTATTCGAGCCCATGTCCACTGGCAGGCTTCGATCTTGCGCGCACTTTTGAGGTGAGTGCTCGACGACGCGTTGATGCAAAGATTCGTCGGTGGAAGTGGCATGGGAAGATAGGCGCGAGGAGGAGGAGGAGGAGGAGGAAGTAGTCGAAGCAGGTCCGGTGGTCGTGCTGGGGCTCTCTCCGATCATTTTGATGCTCGGTCGGCGGAGAAATGTGCAGGGCCGAGTGGATCAAGTCAAGGAATGCCGAGGGGACCGCATTTGATTGAAATAGTCGGAGTGTTTCGTCAGGGGAGTGGGAGGTTTTGTGAGGCCTGTAGTGGAAGCGCAGCAGCGAGTGGTGGTGGCGGCGTCGGTTTTGGTTTGAACGCGTACGAGGACCTCCGGACGTAGAGCTGGTTTTGTTAGTGCGTGGGCATTGGTTTAATTTGGTGGTGTGGAGAAGGTGAACGAAATGGCGTGCATATCATCGCGCCTGTCGGTCTCGCCGAATTTCTCAGGCCTGCGAAAAGCGCTCCCGTCTACCTCCACTTCTTCTACAACCGTTTCTGTGTCGAGCTCGGGTTCGGAAGGAAGTTATGCTGCGGGCAGATTATCTCTGCAAGTGGTGGCGAGTGCCAAAAGATTTCCCGCGTCGTCCACGCCCTCGAGTCCCAGTCAAACTCCTCCTGTGAATGCCATTAGTAGCAAGGTGCCTGAGGAATTGGTTTCGACCTCTGCGCTGCCAACGAAGCCCGTGTTGGAGACTGATCCTCTCAAGCTTTGGCAAAGATACCTCGAATGGCTGTATCAGGACAAGGACATTGGAATCGAAATAGATGTGAGCAGAATCGGGTTCACAGACGAGTATCTGGCGATGATGCGACCCAAACTTGACCAAGCATTTCGTGCCATGGCAGACCTGGAAGGTGGTTCCATTGCGAACCCGGACGAGGGACGAATGGTCGGGCATTACTGGCTTCGTAAGCCCGAGCTTGCGCCCACAGCGTATCTTCAAAAGCAAATTGTGCAGACAATTGAGAGTGTCCAAAGTTTTGCCAAGGACGTGATTTCTGGGAAGGTGAGGGACTCTGCCGTAGGAAGAGATGCTATGCACTTTGTGGGTCCGAAGGACGCTCAACCTATCGGGTCGGGCCTTACGTGCCATCCCGCTCTCGCCCCCCGCCCCCCGGACCTGCCTGCGCAACTTTCTTGAACCGATAGGAGATTTGTATTTCGTCTCGGAGAGCCCTATGCGAGGAAATCTTGCACGTACGGTTCGGAGGGAGGCCACCCAAGCATGAGAAATGTTTTTTCCCCTTCGCACCCCCCCCCCCCCCCCCCATATTCTGCGTTCAGGCACCGCAGTTGTATCAATCAGTGACTGCGAGTCAAGAAACCTTCAGGCGTTTTTGAATCTCTTGACAGGAATTATCCTCAGAGTCGTTAGTTTCATTTCCTTGTCAAAGTCCATCGCGTTGATTTTCAAAGTCTTGCATGGTGGACCGGTTCGTGTCTCTAGAAAAATGGTCTGAACTGCATGTTGTATTCGTGGGACAGTACGATGCTGCTTCGAGACAGGCCAAGACTCATCTCCCGCATTCCTTGCCTTCCTCTGCCGCTTGAACCATGGAAAGTTCTTTTCCAACAATGCGGTGTTTAAGATTTACCTAATCTTCCTTACCACTTACTCTTTATGTCCATCATCCAAACCTGACTGTTGATCTTGCGACCGTCTTCATCATCCCAGATACTTCGGCTCCTCTCAGTTTCATAATTTAAAGATGGGACATAGGCAGTTAACACCCAAGAGCCGAGGATTTTTCGCATACCTTCAAACTGCGAGTATTATGTCTAAAGGACAATCTTCACAGAAACAGTGCTCGGTTTTAGTCCTAAGTACACCGATTTCTTGAATGAGCGGCGGGAATCATCTGAGTAAAAATTATCCAAGTCGGCGTTTCAACCTTGACATCCACAGCATATCGCGTATGCTAGGTGGTCACTCTGGGGAAGAATCTACACTTATGGTGAAGGAAAGATGCGCTGTCGTCTAGAGATTTTCTTTCATTTTTTACATGAGGAATGTTGAATTCCCATTCTTGCGTGTTTTTTACAGATCAAACCGCCACCTTGTCCAAATGGGCGTTTCACACAAATATTGTCCGTGGGTATTGGAGGTTCTGCGTTGGGTCCGCAGTTTGTGGCTGAAGCATTGGCTCCCGATAATCCCCCCTTGAAGGTTTGATAAACCTTAGGAATTGTTTTATGTGTATTTTGTGTCTCCGTCGACTACTCGTCATATCCGTGGTTGCTTGTAGTTTATGTGACTGAATTATAGCCAGATAACAGTGAGAGGTTGTGTGTCCTGGGATTTTTGTCAGTACTTCAAATCAAACCGATGTTTGCGTTTTCAAAGCTGAAGCAGTTTTTGACTTGTTTTCGACGTCTATTTACCTCTGCAGTTGCGATTCATCGATAACACAGATCCAGCTGGTATCGACCATCAAATAGCCCAGCTGGGACCTGAGTTGTCATCTACCCTCGTTGTTGTGATCTCGAAGGTGAGTTCGTCTTTACATTGAGACTCAATGGCCTCATGTCATTTCGTAGCAGTTGTTGGGAGTATCAAAAGGTTCTCAGTCACGAGGCCTTAAAGCTATGAAGGAGCTTCTGTCACATGTGTATATGAGCATAGTGCTTGTGACAGACTGCCCACACGTCTTCCGTGCGGCCATCTACTGACTCGTTTCTGAACTGCAGAGCGGTGGAACCCCTGAGACTCGTAATGGTCTTTTGGAGGTACAAAGGGCATTCCGAGAGAAGGGCTTGGACTTTTCAAAGCAGGTGGGGCCTTTGCCTGCACACAGCAGTTTTCGTGTTCGTCTCTGTTATAAACTTTCCGCATTTTAACAGTATTAATGTACTTGAGGTGAAGAACTCATATCATGAGTCGAAAGGTCATTGAAATTCACCGGTGCTGGTTCAGAGACTTTGCCCCTTTTCCTGACGCCTAGCCACTGAATGTATTATTGGTCACCTGACTTGGTCATATTGGTACGCACCCTTCTAAAGCGCTTGTTCTTATTCAGGAACTAATGCTTCTTGATGTGATACAGGGCGTGGCCATCACTCAAGAAAATTCGCTCTTAGACAATACTGCTAGAATTGAGGGCTGGTTGGCCAGGTTTCCCATGTATGACTGGGTTGGTGGGCGAACATCAGAGATGTCTGCCGTAGGATTGCTCCCCGCCGCTCTTCAAGTACGTCGACTTCTAGTGTTCTTTGTGCCACCCTTTTGAACGCAAATTTTTGATACTGCAACTGTTCTTGTACACTTTGTCATGGTTCTCATCTGTACTTTTTTGTTAAACAGGGAATCGACATCCATGGAATGCTGGAGGGTGCACGACTTATGGATGAGACAACGAGAATACGAGACGTAAATTCTGGACTTCCTCTTTCGTCTGTTTGCATTTGCAGTTCTTCGGCTTTCACTTGCAAATGTACAACGATTAGTCTGTTCACTTGAGATGATTTTAACCCCCCGTGTACGGTCTTGCAGCTCAAAACAAACCCTGCAGCTCTTCTTGCTCTCAGCTGGTATTGGGCTACAGACGGCAATGGATCCAAGGTAGGAATATGTTCACCTCACATCCTGGTTGAGGTAGGAGCTTCTTGTAAGCTCCAGGTTTAGAGGCAATTAGTATGCCAGCACGTAACAAGATGCGGAATTTGATATATGCTTTTCGTTTATGACGGAGACTGTGCCTTTCGCAGGATATGGTGGTGCTGCCGTACAAAGATAGCTTGTTACTCTTTAGTCGTTACCTTCAACAGCTCGTGATGGAGAGTCTCGGAAAAGAGTATGACTTGGATGGGAACCTGGTAAGCGGGAGTGAGGAAGTCATCGCACCACATGAGGGCGGTCAATCATGAGCATTTGGCTTGATATCAGCTGAATTTCTTATTTTTTGGCGCGGGTTGAAAGTTGCAATGGAAAGAGTCAGTAGAGGATCTTAGAAATGAAGTTTTGTTGCGTCCCTTTATATCGGTTCGATGTCCTGGTTTCACTATAAACAGCGATATCTGCATGCAGGTCAATCAAGGTCTCGCTGTATATGGCAACAAGGGTAGTACAGACCAGCACGCGTAAGTACTTCTTTCTCTCTCGATGTGAGAAAATGTTCTATTGCTCGTATAACTTTTTAGATGGGAGGTGGACAAAGAGAAAATTCTCAGAAGTTTTGACTTCGTCCATGGAATATTGTCACGGTCCTTTCATATCTGAACTCGTTGTAGGACAAACTGTGTTGTGTTTACAGCTACATTCAGCAGCTGAGGGAAGGGGTCCCAAATTTTTTTGCCACATTCATAGAAGTGCTCAGGGACAGGCCCCCAGGTCATGACTGGGAGCTTGAGCCCGGTGTTACATGTGGAGACTACCTGTTTGGAATGCTTCAGGTAATATTCGTTCTCATGTGAGTCTGTTCAGGTACTTTTTTGTTTAAGGGAGGTCGTGGTTATGTCGTCTCTGAATGATAAACTTGTGAGGTCAGTTTTTTTGGTTTTTCTCCGTTCTTTGTTTCTGATGACCAGTGGACATAATCTTCTTCAGTGGACTTTCCTACTCGTTAGGTAGGCCCATTTGCTCCGTAAGGATGTGCCGTTGTCATAAGTACTGAATCACCGTGATACCACGTTTACCGTCTATACGCAGACTATTTCTTGAATAAAGTATCTGCAAAAGCGCTCAATCGCTGTATCGCATCTTGCAGGGCACAAGACAAGCTCTATATGCGAACAAGCGCGAGTCAATCACAGTCACTGTGAATGAAGTGAACCCAATCACTGTGGGCGCACTCATTGCTTTATACGAGAGAGCCGTGGGCCTGTACGCGAGCCTTATTAACGTCAATGCTTACCACCAGCCCGGTGAGTGAATTGTTTCTTTGACCTGGAACACCTGAAATGTATGTATAGCATCTTATCTCATTCGAGCGTGGGGATTTCAGATCTGGTCTGAAACCATCCCAAGATGACTTGAGATGTTCGAACATCTCAAGTATATGGTCCATTTGCCTAGCTTTATGGTCCATTTTGTTAATACACGAGTATTGAGCACGAGTATTGATGTATGGTATATGTATATTTCGATAGCTACGACGCTTAAACTAGAATTCCGTTTACTCAACTCGAGAATAGATGTCGTGTCCAAAAAGAAAACTTCATGTTTTAGCCTACGCAGCAGGTGCCACTTTTCGTCACCATCAATTGGAAATGTCAGTTAAAATGTTTGTTATGTTTGTTTCGCCCTTAATACTCAACGAATATGTCACCTTTTCTGTTCTGTCGTATTAGGCGTGGAGGCGGGAAAGAAAGCTGCAGGCGAGGTGCTAGCTCTCCAGAAAAGAGTTCTATCGGTTTTGAATGACGCCAGGTTTGAATCCAATTCTCGGGACTTGGTGTTTCATTACTCTCTTCTGACTTTGTCTAATTTGCTTCTTTCATCGATGCTTCATACGGACGTTGTTAGAGTGTGACGAGTCCTGTTGTTTCTCTCAGCTGTCAAGAACCAGTGGAACCTCTAACTCTGGAGCAGATCGCAACTCGAGCCCAAGCACCACACCAGGTCCGTGCAGAGAGTGCATTGGTTTGATCTTTTGTTGACTTTCGATGGAATTAGTCAATTGACGATGCCGAGAGTTGTAAGACTCACTCAATTTGGACTTCGTATGCGCAGGTGGAAATGATCTACAAGATTGTGGCACACATGGTAGCAAATGACCGGGCATTGTTTGCTGAAGGCGACTGTGGATCGCCCAAAAGCGTTAAAGTCTTCACTGGTGAATGTAATGTAGAAGACCTTTATGGCCCCTAGATTTGACTGCATTTGAGAAGTAGCTTGCTGTCTCTTGTGCCTGTAGAGTATGAGTATGTCCAAATAGCGAGAGAAGTTATAATGATCATGTAACGTTAAAAGTCAGCTGTATTTTGAGCTCAAAATTCGGGTTCCTGTACGGAAATTATAGGAAGAGATCACTTTGTTTTGTCGCTAAAGTTTCCTTCCTGCAAGAGTTGACTCGTGGGCAGTCGAAGCGAACCACCCAGATTTGTGAAAACAGTAGTCAGTTGGGAAACAATTGAACTTTCTCATCTAATCTAGTTGATGAGGTCGGCTAACACAGACGGAGAGGCAAGCAGCTCCACCGCGAGTTCCTTAGAGTTATAATTTCTCTTGATAAATTGTACAATTATTGTCTTGAATATGAAGAAACCTGAACTCCCTTAACACCCTGAGCTGAACATATATTTTGAGGTCCGTTTGCATCGTCGATGGCAAGATCAGTACGATCCTTGAGGTTTTTGTTGCATGATCTAGCTGCACGGTCTGTTTAGGGCGGGTTGTTCAGTTAACTTGCCTTGAGCTTTGAGGTGGTTAAGTCTGGCCTTAACGTGACTCTCCTACTGGACGCACCAGACGTGTCTGGATCGTATGATCACGGGGCCAGGGTTTATTGATGGGTGGACAACAGATACTGTTGTTAACGCCGGCGCGAGTGAGGTGATAGAGTTTTAGCCGTGCTTTGCGAAGTGGGTGTTTGTGAGTGTGTTTTGACTGTGCTCCATCGTCCGCGTACCATCTGTAAGATACTGTTGAAGAGATGAAAAGCCCCGAGTCCTCCTTTCTGGTACGGAGGCGCTCACAGCGAGAGGAAAGGAAGTGTAACGGCTCAGTGGAAGGTTGTTCGATGTCTAAGATCTTGCTCTTCCACTTTTGGTGCTTGTAGGGGAAAGATATCGCCAGATGTTGGAGAGGACCTTTCGCTTTAAGTATGCTCCGAAGATGGACAGTCTCGAACCATATGAGATGTAAAGTACAGTAACCCCTTTTGAAGTCAGCAGGTAGAGGTGCTCAACACGTGCTCGAGCGAGGCTTGTCAAGTGAAGAATGTGACACCACAAGAGTAACCCTCATCCATTGTACATAATTATTATTAAAGCCGTCGAGGGAAATTGAGAACTAGTAAAGTTTGGATATGTAGATTGCAATATAGAAAGGAGAAGTAGTGGCAATAATGCCTTCCCCTCTCGAAAGACACGAAGCTGTGAATCTAGATTTAATGATATAGCCAAGGGAAAAAATCGGTGTGGAACTTAATGCATCTCGCCGAAGAAATTATAGCGATTAGTACAGTATGGACCACTAGCACGAGGACGGTGGGAAAGGGCCGCGGCATAGCATTCTCCTTGGTAAGCCACTCCTTGAGCCCTCGTGCCTAGAGAAGATAGTCCATTAGTGAGCGTGAAAATGGTGGGGCGGAGAGGCAACTTAAAGTCTGCGAATCGGAGGCGTCAGGAGTGTAATCTCTGTTCAGTTCTAGGAAGTGAGCATAGAATTAAATGCGAAGAGGTATTCGTAGTGAGAGGCTGAAGAAATCGTTTTGCGAGATTGCTGACATTTGGGCATCTTTCACTCTGTACCCCTGTCAACGTTTGTCAGTACCTAGGATGGTAGTGAAAACATTATGTCGTCCAAAACGCAGGCACATTGAACATGTCGTCCGGCGGATTAATGTGGCCACAAACTGTTCACTCTAAAGGGCGAGAAGGACCGAGCTGCACATTGTCATTATAGTGTTCATAGACCGAAACGGATGTAATTTGCCCACAATGTAACATTACCGTGCGTCTTTCTCTCCGATTGGAGAGATATTTTGATTCAGTAAAGGAAACATCCTGAATGGGATCAATGACATGCGCGCATGTGTACTTGAGCTTGTACAATCTCTAGCAAGATGCAGCGTGATACTCCTAACCTCCGAAGGCAACGGACTTGTGTGAACCAACCGTGCGTTATCACCACGGGTGCACTCCTGCGGACTTGCACCATGAAGTGGATCCAAACCGAGCTCTTTCATGATTACGCTACAGAGGTCCTACAGAGTAAGCTACAGAACTGGGCTGCGTCCTCGATAGCGTGTGCATGCAGAACAGTAGTTTGGTGTCCGTCCGTTCCCGAAAGGCTGTTGATCTTCCGAGCTTCCCGCATCTCGCATCGTCTTCCAGCATGGTTGGAATGAGACCCGGGTACTGTACTGGACGCCAAATTGGCCTTCTTCCGCGGGTACAGGGACTGGTCGACTCATCGACTGCGCACTCTGTTGACAAATCTCAGTTACTTTTTTGACTCTGACTCGTGAGAGCATTGATTGTCCTAAAGGGAGACAGAAGGGTCCATTAGTTCGTCCACGTGTTCTTCACTTCCTCAGGCAACAATCCTCGGGTCCCACTCCAACAGTGAACCCAGCAGAACGTAACAACAGACACCAGACCTTGCAGCGGCTGCTACTGCTGCTGCTGCAGGAGAAGATAAGTAGTAGGCAGCAGTTCGGATCAGAAGCATAGTGAGTGCCGATACCAGCACCGCTCAGAGAAAATTCGAGCAGTCGCTCGTTCGCGCGCGCGAGGGAGTCCAGACAGACAGTCAAGAAATAAAAGAAGGCGGGGGTTTAATTAGCCAGACAAGCCAGTGTGTGAGAGAGAGTATGAATGTCTGACCGTCCTTCTCTCCGACCGTGTGATCGAAGCCACTTCTTCTACGCTCTGACGGCAATAATATCAAGTTGTCTGATCCAGGACACCAGCAGCACAATTGTGCCTGCGCTCGAGGGCCTTCATTTCTTTTTCTTGAGGTTTCTTGGCCCACTTTCTCCAGGACACTGAGTGAGTGACGCTCTCGAGCACCTCCGTCCCTCGAGCAATTCTTTCGGACTCGGCTTGACTAGAGCGAAGAAAGTTGGCAGATGCCCGTTTGGCTGCACGACGAGGGGCTGCGAGCGAGCTCTTCGCATGACGGGACGTTATGCTCTCGTGTATCTTGACAGCTCGGGGGGTTAAGAAGGTCAAACAAAGAGCAGGCGGTGGGGCCGAGCGGTGACGCTGCGAGATTCGGAATAATGTCTGCTCGCGAAGAATTGAGTTCGCTGTCCGCTTGTCGCCGCATTCGTGGAGAGATTTCGGAGGTCGATGCCTGAGCAGCACTCGGTCCGCTTCCCAAACTCGAGGAGGACGAGGGAGGAGGGCTGCTTGAAGGTTGACGAGTTCAGAGCCGGAAGAATTGCGCTGTGCTGCTGCGACTGATCGAGTGAGTGAGGCCACGACACTTTATTCTTTCTTTCTTTCTTTCTTTCTTCTCTTTCTTCTCTTTCTTCTTCTTCTTCTATTCGCGTGAAGCAGTGCGTGCCTGGATTGCAAGGCTGGAGCCGCAGACGGATTTGTCTCGTGACAGCGCGAACGAGTTCTGCAGCTGAAATTTAATATTGGGGTGGCCAATCTCCAGGCCCATGATACGGTTCCCGTCGATGCCGGCAACATCAATCCAGTAGCGATGGTCGTATAAAGCCTTGCATTCTCGTTCCTTCAGGTGTGCGCCGGGACGAAGAGACAGGGTTCAGAGGGACGAGGACAGGATTCAGTCCCAGGTCCTCGTTTGCATTGCGGCAAGGGAGGCCGACCTCCATGGAGACCTTCGATCAGGCTGCACAGGTCTGTCTGCCTGCGAGACCCGCAGGCTTGACCTCGGATTGAATCTGATCACAGCAGTTGTTCGATTCAGTCGAGCTCGCGCTCGAGGTTCCTTCGATAAACCAAAAACAATTCCAGCTCTCGTCCCACTCCTACACACCAACGAACGTCTTCCAGCAGCTGATGCACGAGGTCCATCGAGCTCCCGATGACGACCACCGATGTCCGACATGAGCGTCGAATTGAATTAAATCGAATCGAGCGGAAGTGAATTGGTCTCCTCGGTGATCGACTGAATACGACGACGGCGGGATCAGAAGCGCAGGGAAAAAGAGCAACGAGGGCAGAATGACGACTGCCATCAAGCCCCCGGGAGGTCGGCCCAAGGGGTTAAGGTTCATGGTGTGGGTGATAGGCTCGGTGTGCATGATAATGTGCGTGCAGCTCTGGGTATACGAGAGGAAATGGTCGGAGCACCATCCGGACGATCCGGGCACCAACACATTCAAGAGCCAGAACGCCAGCCAGAGTGCGGAAGACGAGGGCGCAGGGCTGCTGGAGGTGCGCGTGCGCGCGGTGGACGAGTCGTCGACGCTGCGCGAAATTCTCGAGGCCGTGAGCATGTGCGCGGCGGATCCTGGCGCCGAGGTGCAGGCCGACACGGCCGAGTGCCTCGAGAAGCTGCTGGTCGAGTACCCGGCGCTAAGAACGCTGCAGCCGGCGCCACGCCTCGAGGCGCAGGACGACCAGGAGGCGGCGCAACAGCGCCGGCGCATCGAGGCGCTGGAGGCGCAGATCGCTGGCCTGAGTCGTATGCTGCAGGCGTCGACTGATTTCCGGGAACTCAAGGACACTCGCCGGCCGGGGCTCTCGGACGGTGACATCGGCTGGTTCATGAGCGACGTGCTGCTGCCTCCCGCCGGCGGCACCGGCGGGCGGCCGGAGATGTTCGAGTTCCCGTCCGCGCTTTCGGAAGGCCGGATCCTGTGCTTCCTGGGGAACGACACCAGCGACGGGACCAAGAATCGGTACGGGCTGGCCTTCAAGGACTACCTGCCCAGCGGCGCGACGCTGCTGCCGGGACTGACCCTCGTGGCGGACAACTACTGGGACTACAACAACATCTGGCACGGCATGTCGGCGCTGCTGGGCTTCGTGTCGTGGCGCGTCGCGGAGGACTGCGCGCGCCCGTCGCGCCTTCTGCTCTTCCACTGGGGCGAGCTCGTGCCGGCCCTGGGCGCCTGGATCGACAACGTCCTGCACGCGGCCTTCGGCGCGCGCCTGCCCGTCGAGCGCCTGGAGCAGGCGTCAGCCGCGCCCGTGTGCCTGGAGCGCGCCGTCGTCAGCCGCCGCGGCCTGGGCGGCATGTCGGTGCCCCACATGAACGCCATGTTCCGCGCCGTCCGATGCCGGGCTCGCAAGTTCTGCGCCATCCCCGTCCCGGGCGCTCCGGCGGCGCGCGACGGCATCCGGCTCACGCTCCTGGTCCGATCCGGCGCGCGGTCGCTGGCCAACGTCACGGACGTCACGGCCATCCTCTCCGACGAGTGCAGCAAGGTCGCCCTCTGTCAGCTGGAAGTGTCCTCCATCGCCGACCTGTCCTTCTGCGACCAGGTCCGTACCTTCTGAACCTCCGCTGCTCTTCGATCGATTTCCTAAATTCTCGCTGTCCCAAACTCTTCGATCTCCATGTCGATCGATCTGAACCCCCAATCCTCACGGGCGCACTTCGCCAGAGTCCGATGAATTTTCTCTCGTCCGGAAACGAGGACTCTCGTGATCAGATTAGACGATCAGAGATCTGGAAGCTCGAATTGTGGATTGTAATCTTCGGCTCGAGTAAATACAAGTCCGGAATGAATCCGGAGCGATCGGGGTTCGATGATGCCCGTGGTCGTGGTTCGGGCGGAGGAGGAAGAGCGAGGAAGACTGCGGAAGGGGTTGGCAGTTGGGAGGAAGGCTGGTGCTGAAATGGGGATTGTGAATTGTGCAGGTGGCATTGATGAGCAGGACGGATGTGCTGGTGAGCACTCACGGAGCGCAGCTGACCAACATGATGTTCATGTCCGAGGGGGGCTACGTCATGGAGATGATGCCCAAGGGCTGGCTGGAGTTCGCGGGAGTGGGGCAGTACATTTACACATGGTTGGCAGAATGGACCAGGCTGAAGCACGAGGGAATTTGGCGGGATACGGACGGGCCAGACTGTCCTTTCGATGCTTCGGAAACCCTCAAGTGTTTCTTCTTCTTCAAAGATATTGACGTCGGTCTCAACCGCACCCACCTCGCCCTCTGGACCGCTCAAACTCTGCAAAAGGCTCAACTGGACAAACAGCAGCAGCAGGAGGCTGCTACTGCAGATCTGAATCACACTCAGATCGCTGCTGCTGCTGACGCACTCGGCGGCGGCAGCTGCCCCTGCGATCATGTAGATAGTTTAGAACACGTCAGTCCTGTGGACGAAGAAGCTTAGATTACCCTCTGTCCGTCCGTCCCTTCTTTCACACACAGCAGCAACAGCATTCATTACCTTGACCTAGATTAGCGTGACCCTAATGATTTCATACTTGTGGGTGATTTGTCCCTTTATTATATATTTTCAATCAGCACCCGAGATCTTCCATCACTGCTCAGGAATAGCACCATGCCTCACGTCTGTGTCTGTCACTCCAGAGTGATTACACTCCCGGACCTTCTGGATGTGTCTATTGCTTTGACGACGTCACCTACTCTTGCTAACGTGTTATGGTGGAGATTTCGGCACTGCGCTCGACGTTTAGAATGGAATACTCAATCAGTGCCATAATCGAGAACTCCACAAATTGCTGTCCTGATCGGACGATGAAGATTGATCCGATTATTGACCGCTGTCCAGTGGGGGTTCGGTGCTTGGCTGGCTGTTGGGCGAGCTGTATCGGCTGCTGTTTGGGATCAGACATTATCGGAACCTCGAGTGTGCTGCAAGTCTCTGTGTCTGTTGGGGGATACTCGATACACATGCACCTCGTTCTCACTCCCTCTCTTCACACCCTCCGAGTTCTGCAGTCAGGAAGGTCAGCTGCTAACATGGACTCCGTAGGGTGAGACGGGTCTTGCAGCGTCCGAGAGATCCACGTTCGCGAGCTGTATGGGATTGTGTTTCGATGGTTTCTGCCGTAAGACTTTTTTCACTCCCCTCATGTTTGTGATGCCTACATGCCTTACAGAGCTCGCAGTGTCAGTCGCCAGTCGATTGGGATATCGATTGGGGTCCGAGGCAGTGAGTGCTACTCATTGGTTGGCAACGATGGATTAGTGAATGAATGGATCTATCGAGGTTCGAGAGCTCCACGTTTCTTCCTGAATGCCCAGGATAAACTGCTCGCAGCTCTTTCATAGTCGTCGTGTGGTGACTTCTTCTATGGTCCTTCCTTCATTTGATATCTATCCGGTTCGTGCTCTCTTTTGTGAATCCTACGTCCACACCATCTCTGCTGCTCGAATCGCTTTAATTTGAGGGCAAACGATCCGATGCATATGATTGTAGTTTAAAATTGCCTTTTAAAAGGCTATACCTTGTCCCCCTCGTAGGGGTGGAGGCTCGTGTGCTTGAAGGTGAGCCTCCACCCCTACGAGGAGGACGACGTATCTGGCAGCTATTCTTTTTTCTTTCCTTTCCAGGCTATGATCCAACTCATGCCGTCTCGCTTGATCCAATTGGCATGCCCAGCAGGAAACGGTTGAAGTCGATTGTTAACTTCCCCAACCTGTTCGATTTCCTGTTGAATTTCGCGTCTGTGAAATGTGCTTTCTCCTTCCTTCATGTCTAGACTGTAGGCCGGTGGAACCAGATTCTGAGAACCATTGTTCCCCTCACTGAAATCAAAGTATGTTTTTGTCCTTTCCAAAATCTAGCGTTGCTTTGGACTGCTTTGCGGCTGCGAGAATTTGTCTACGGTACAGGCGATCGTTTTCTGGCCCTCATAAACTTATTGACTTTGACAGTGCGCTGGACTTTGGCTCTTGTCTAGGTCGCTTTTATTCTCGATAACTAGTTTGTCTTGTTGTCATTATGGACTTTGGACTTCTGCCGAACGAATGAAAGGACTTCTTCTAGAAGCCGGATTTCGTACATGCGATACGGAGAAATCCAACCATTCAAGGATGCGGAGTTATACCACGGCTGTGTAGTAAATCATCGTAGTCGGCACACATCAGACCGTCTTTGTGTACCTCGTACAAACTCTGTGGTAGCCTGAGGTGTCTAAATATTGCATCTTCAGAGAATTTCGGTGCTGCTCCCAATGATGGTTTCGATATTTGTACTGGTACGTGAGAAACTACGGTGCTTGAGATACTGTAACACTAAGAAGCCTATATCGCGGGTGTTGTTAGTTCGATTTGCTGGACCTCAGGACCCAATATCTTTGATGCGCGCATGCCCAAGTTATATTATCCCAAGTTCTTACTTTACTTAAACAACCAAGGACTAAATATTCATACATTAAAATTCACGCAGAAGACGAAAACTGGTGACTGGCACATCGTAACAAATACGTTTGAATTTATCCTACAATAATAGCAATCTCGTGCGTTTTCGTCGTAAGTACTTCAGGACGAGTTCCAGGAGCATGAAACGCTAGATCTGCTAACATACAGTAAGCATCGATCTATATCGCAACATTTCCTTTTCCTGAGAGAAATGAAGAACTGCTAAGATAATGTACTAACGCACAGTTGGGCAGTTCTACAGCAGAACTTTCACTGTCTCTGTGTGCTCTCTCCAATGTGGGAAGCAAAAATTTGGTCAAGGGAGGTAGAATGAGGATGCAGCTAGCCGCAATTTGTTTCCTGCGTCTTTCCATTTTGATTCTGGGGCTGTGGCACCCATTACGAATACCTGGATGCCAAACCATTAATACGTTAACAACCAAGGAAAACAAGTGGACAAAAATTTGACCATTTAGTTGACAACGTTAAAATGCACCCTCTTACCCTTCCACCGGCCACGCCTGCTGACATCGCTACGTGTTTATCCCTCGCCACAAACTCGTACAAGTAATAAGTCCTGGTTACAGAAGGCCATGAAATCGCGCAACAAGCGGTAAGTTACAGCGAAGAGCGGTGAACATATTGCAGACCGATTAAATACGATCGATAAGAAGTTGGGGATAAAATTGATCTCCTTACATATGTCTGGAGAAGCAAATCTGTCTAAAGTTCCTCAAGGACCACGTACCTTGGGACTCGTGATTTTGTGGAGTTAATGATCCTGGCAGCAACTAGCTTCGAACCTCCTGTGGAAAACAAGACTATCAGTGGATGAACTGTACTGAGTGAACGATCACACCTCTGTCGTCCTTGAAACGATATTCAGGATGACAAGACTAGCATATTCTGAAAGACATTCGGACGCTTGGAGGCCAAACTTCATGTACAAGGAAAGGATGGTAGAGAATCCCTGGCATCAAGTCCATACCGGGCACAAATTTGGGAGCAGCTTCTTTAATTGATCCAAAATCCTTAATATCCATGGCCTGCAAGTGGCAAGTCATGTTTAAACTTCGTGGTTAGCCATCATACCATATCTTCACTCTACTTTACTCCGCGGCTACTCAGATTCATCGATGACAAAGACCAGTAACATCCAGGTACTCAAAGCTGCCCGTGTGAAGTCACTTGCAGGTATTAGTTGAATACATGAGGAGAAGTGTAGGTAACCTCTGTTAGATTGGAAACTAAAGCATACCTGATAAAACGACAGCTGCATTTGCGAAGCAGGCTTGATCACCACACTCAGTATTTCATCCCTGCTTCAGCGAGAACCACATTAATTCAAAATTTAAAAATCTGAAAAGGTGTATTGTCTTTGTTCTCTTGCCATCTTCATTTACAAATCTGACAGTGGCATGTGAAATATGAAATATTAATGGTCCTTTCTCTGGCCATTAGGCCAGAGTAAAAGTACACACGCAATTCTGAGAAAACAAAAGCAAACAGAAACGGAAAAAAACGGGTTCTGCGGCTAAATTAAAAGGAAATGTCATGTTGAGCAAGAAGATGACAAATAATACCTGTCAGGGGAAGCAAAACGGGCTGCAAAAGGTCTGTCCTTAGCTCTTTCACCGTAAAGGGAGTTTAAGGCTTCCTACAATTTAAACCCCATATGATCAGCGAATTCGAGCCAAAAGGAGAGACAAAAATCCCAAATCATAAATTGGCAAGGAGGTAGCCAAACTAGCTTCAGCGGAAAATGATGTGAGAGGAATTGTCTTACCTCATTCAATGGGTCCAAAACATCTTGATATCCTGGAGGAATTCTGAGCGCAAATCCTTCTCCTCGAAATCGAAACCACGTAGTGACATCGTCTACAGACTGCTGAACTTTGGCACTTGATCGGACGGACGTACCGGCGTTGGCTCCCTCCGGAGTTCCCGAAACTGAATCCTCCGCTACATCGAAGAATCTTCCCAGCCCATGCGCACTACCAGGAAATGCTACACCCGCCAGAGTTGCACTTGACAAAAGCCATTCCCGCCTGCCCTGTTTCACAAATTGCTCCCTATAATCCTCAGAAGAAGCCCTGGTAATCAATCTGACTGGCCGTGAGCGAATACTGGCACTCCCACAAAGTTGATTCCTCTCACAATCCCTTGACTCCCTGACTCCATGTGCCTGCAGAAAAACACAGGACAAAAGAACGAAATTCCTTCAGCGTCTTGCGAAGAATATTAAAACAGATTTGAAAATCACGTGATTGGGAAAATTTCATGCCCACCAGAAGCAATCCCACTCAAATACAGAGAGTTTGATATGTTGATCTACTGATCTGTTGATCAATTTGGCAAACTTCAGCGAATTTCAAATTCATCTTCGGGAAACGCTTACACCCTGATGTAGCAATATGTAGCAACAAACGTACAAACGTGCGCAGCTTTCCACATCCAAACATCCATCAGATTCTCTGAAATATTTAGAACCTGATGATTAAAATCCCTCAATAAAGGAAGCTCACCACGCGTCTCTGCCGGCGCAAGAGCTCCACCGTTCGCTCTGGACAACCGGCCACATTCAAAGGCGACGGTCTCCCACAGCAGCTGCCGTTCACGGCAGCCGCAACTCCCGCCATGTCGCTCCGCGACTCACTACCTCTCGGCCTCGCGAAAGAAATTCATCGCCTCCGACAATCGCCGCCGAGTACCACCACGCTTCTCCTCGTCGCCATCGCTGTCTCCCGTGGCAGCGCCCCGAATCGCGTCGCGCCCGTGGCAGGCGTCATGGACAACGGTCGAGGAGAGCGCCGAGAGCAAGAAGTGAGAAGTGGAGGCTGCAATCCGCCGCGCTTGTCTGGCGCTGTCATGGCGCTGTCCTGGCGCCGGGCAGAGACGATAAGATGAAGGTCCCGGGGATTCCCCGTCCGAATCGAGGATTGAGCGCGGCCCCTGCTCCTCGTCCGACAAGGAGCGAGACCCGCTCCCGGGAATATTCCATGCGTACACCATAGATTCTTTTCTCATGTCCATCGTACCGTACTTCAGACCGGAGTAGAGTAGGACGGGACGGTACGGCATGTCTTTAAAAATATATTTCTCTTCCCTTATTATCATAACCTTGACCCCATTATGGCCCGAGAAATTCAATGATTATCTCAATGGAGATGGGAGGCTGCTTGCGCCACGATTGTGAGGACTTGTGCGTGCGTGAAATACAAACAAGGGGCACGTATCGTCATTCGCGCAGACATCGTACTGTACCTTCGCCTCTTGTTGCGCACCGTATAGTACGTGAGATGAGAGTTAGAGAGTTCTAGTGCCCAGCGAGTGAAGCGCAGGATTCGTGAAATGCTTTCTTCATGTGCACGGACACAGAGGGAGGGAGGGCGGGAGTGAAGGAGAGGAGGGTTATGTCCACGGTCTGAAGAAAGCGTCGATCTGTGAGTGGTTCTCTGCTCTCTCTCTGTTTGCAAAGTGTAATCTCTTCTTCCCCGCGATTCCCAAACGGAGAAGCTCCCGAAGGATCTGACTGATACACACATTCCTTCCATCTACCCTGACATGCTCTACCCTCGCAGTCGTGACCACGACTGCAAGCACAAGACTACAATTCGCTTTCCTGATATACGACATCAGTTCCTACGACTTCCAATTCATTCATGTCATCATTTCACTTCAACTCGCTTATGCACAAGGCGCTTCCTTGCGTTTCATTCGGATAACAATATTCGCATTCCTGAACACAGGACTTCCCGACTCCAGGTAATGCGTTATATTGTTAACTTTCTTTCATTCTATGGAGGCTTCCAGCTTCTACCTCTCCCTACCATCCATCATCGAAGGTCGGTGGGAACTGCCGTAGGTCATGAAATCTTCCAACAGATACGTGGATCAACATGATGAGGATTGGAATTATTTAAACACGTACTCTCCCAAAACACGTATTTAAACACGTCTTCTCCCAAAAAAACTCACAAAAAAACTTTAGCACCACCAAATGCGGAGAAATTTGCGCCGTTACTCGGATGCGGGCTACTAGCAAGTAATTTTACAACTGACAGAAAGTCCCAGCAGCAGCACCAGGGTACAAGATTGTCCACCTCCAGATGGAGGTGGGAAGATTGACAGTAACGATACCAACTCTACGAGCATTCTCGTGCACCTTTACCATCTGCACCTACCGAACCAGGCTGAGTGAGGTCATTTCCTTCGAAGAATGCGGCATGAGAAGGATTTGTTTCGGTCCGGGCGAAGCACGTCCAGTCTCATGACCAGGCATTCAAACGACCGACGACCTCGGACGCAGTACTGACGCAGAGACGAGATCGGCAACCGATCAGAGACATAGAGAAGTCTGATGTCTACGATGAGCTCTGAGTTTCAGGTATGATCTGAAGTCATGGAATTTCGTCATTTACAGAAAAGAAGAAAAGGGTAAAAGTCACCACAATGGAAATTCCTCTGCTAGTCAGAGAATCTCCAAATCCCGACAGTACAAGACATCGGAATGAACCTCGCGATTAAATCCTCGCTGATCTGAACTCCGGCCTACTTTTTGACAGAAAGCTGTAAACCAAGCTGAGAATCATTCCGCCTGCCGGAAATAGTGTGGGTGTCGCTAAACTTCGTAATCATGGTACATTTGTCGAGGGGTATTCATTCCGCTTGTACAAACCCTCTAACCTTGAGAGGCTATGAAAATCGGTGACGCAACGACCAGATCCTCCAAGTCGTCTCATCTCATCTCCTTCGCAGCCGGCAGCTCCGCAGTGCCTTTCAATCCCAAGTACGTGCGAATCAAGTACGATCCGCTGGGATCCGTCATCAGGTGCCTTACCAGTCGGTAGCGGAGAGAGTTGGGGGCTACTACAAACGTAATCAGTGCGAACATAATCAGGTCCAGGGACGACAATTTCGCTGCGAGAAACCCTTTCCACAGCCTGCAGGAGACAAAGGAGACAGACAGAGAGATCAGTCCCTCGGTCGGGTCGGCATTGACTCGGTGAGAAGGAAGTGCATGAAGTGAAAGCAGAGGCTGCCGAAGGAGAGATGGGCGTGCGACTTTCAGCAGAGTGCAGAAAGCTTTCGACCGATAATCTCACATCTTCCACATCAAAGTGACTCGACTCGATTCAAACTGTTTTATGCGACCAAAGGTTCCGATGTGCGGCACCCACCATTCAGGTAGTTCGAAGAAGGTGGCGAAGAATTCTCGTATGCCCACGAGATCGAGTTGCAAAATCAGCTCAAGCCCGAACAAGAAAAATGCTCGTTGACGCTTCCTCTCGCTCGGCCATAGTGCATTCCAAGCTGCAGACGAAAATCAACAGCGGTCAGTCACAGTCCATGTTGAACGAGATGATCCCACGATGGCGCGATCCTGACAAAACTCCTGGCTTACTCCTTCCGTCGAAGAATGACTCAGGCAGTGGCCAGTGCGAGGGCCCTGAGAAGGAAGACATGCTCTCATGCAGACCGAGAAGTAACGAACCTTCTAAAGCTGCAGCTCTGGGATGCTTCCAACTTTGAATTACCATCGAATTTACATCCACACTCTTTCCTCCAGACCGCAGTGAGGAGGCAATGGCTGCAGCGTAATGAGGAGCCTCCGACAGGGATCGAACCACAGAATATCCTGCTCGGAAAAAAGAGGCATTTCAGAATAAAGAGCTAATTCCGAAAGTGCACTATGATGCAGACGAGACTCTATTGCCACTCACCTTCCTTTAGGAGCTCCCATTAGGAGGATGCGGAGTCAGAGCAGGTCAGGGAGGCGTACCGGTGGCAGGATGAACCATGCTCGCGGCTGCCCCGAAGCCCAAATGTTGCTGCGTCGTATCAGGGAGCGTTGCCCCGACAGGAATATAGGACCATTCCTGGAGCAGGAAGTTCATACAACTGTCAGAAAGATTCACTCACGTACATGAACGTCATCATCGGACGGAATGGATGTGAGAGAGCGACCTATCGACAGAGCCTCACCTCCTCGTACATGTGCACCACCTTAATGCCCATGGAGTTTAATCGCATGAGCAGTCTCTCCTTTAAAAGGTTGAAGGACATAGTCGGCCTTGCTGCCAGGCAAGTCTCCTGGACAAGATTCAAACAATCAGGTCACTGATAACCAATCACTCCCGCAGCAACTGAACTGAACGACGATCTGCAGATCGGTGACATGCTTAAAGAGGTTCTTTTCAATAAAAAAGAATAACTGCTGCTTGAAGCGAAGGATTGGTACCGAATCGGCCTTCCCACCTCAAAGAAAACTCTAGTTTTCGAAACTGGCATTGCGTAGAGAAATGAAGGCACTTGTTTGAACTCATCGGCATCCGGACATGGTTCGGTTCCCCATGCTTGATAGTCCCGATAATCCATGAAGAGCATAATTTCAGGATCGTAATTGAAGTTCTCGCACTGCAATTCCCGACCACGTAACAAAACACAGTCAGTCCTTCAAATAAACGAAGCTAACGAACAGTTCGAAAATGCACAACCAAAATTAGCATACTATTCTCTTCTCTCATGATAGTTCCAAGGGAAACATAGTTCACAACGTGATGGTGAGGCTCGAGGGACAAGATTCTCAATAAATCGCATCTTTTGATCAGGTGAGTGAAACGGATTTGCTTATGTTGCTCGGTTTTTCCACTCTTCCATTTGATCCTCACCTCAACCTCCATCCCATAAGCGGTCTGAACCGTAGTTCCAGGACCACCTGGCTCATACTCCAAAAAACGACCCGCGGCTGCTCCGGAGGCAACTGTGACCAGTCTGCAACCAGAACGTGACGTCAGCTAAGTTTCCTCTTCAGGCTGTCTATCACAACGATCCTTACTGTGCTGAACAAGTTGACAGTCTGAAAGAAGAAGATCGAGCAGCAACCACCGCCATCCAGCGGACCAACAGACGATCATCTTTTGCCATCGAGACTTTGAGAAGTCATTCATTCCCTGTGAGCCTTAGCGTCATGGCAAAATCCAACGGCTTGTCCACCAATCCATCAACTCTTGGTGTTATTGCATTTCTACATGAGAATCTGTAATGGACTACTTGTCAACTAACTTGTCGAGTGTGTAGAAAACTGGGGTACCTGCATCTGATCACAGCTCCGTTGGCGCACATAACTGTGCTCCCAGTGTCGTCTGCGTCGGAGATCCTCTCGACTTCAGTGTCGAGGTACTGTACACCTCCATCAGCGCATCTGCAAAAAGTTTAAGCTTTAACGAAAGTTAGACGTGCCCCACCTTCACACGGACGTATATGCTGACGTACGACCTCCTATTTGAGATCAGAGTTACTTGGATTCATCTGCAGATACTTCAGCAGATAAATTCTGGATTCTTGCACCTTTGCGACCTGGAAGTTTGAGGGCCGGAATCAGCTCCATAAATAGGAAACCTCCATGGATGGAGAAGTGGTCGCAATTACCTTTTCAACAGCTCTTCGTGGAGCAGATGACGATCCACTCGGCCGTAGGCACGTCCTATCAGCAGTGGGGTATCACTTTCGAAATACATCGCAGAGTCTCTCCAAATCTGCTCGATACAATTCTCCAGTCCTAACGCTGCGCAGAGAACAGGCGGGAAGACGTTCACTTCATGACTCGCACCAACCGACAAATACAGGTGCAATTTGGCCAAATCTTGCATCTCTATACTCTTCTCCAATCTCCTCTACAGACGGAAGATTCCAGTACCTGCAAATTCGTCTTCCCACACGCCGTAATTGTTGGTGAAAGGTAAGTCGGGGCCGATGAGGCCAACCTCCAAACCCTGCTTCGCAGCCTCAGCTGCTAGCGACAGACCGGCAGGTCCACATCCGATGACTACAAGATCCAAAAGCTTATCCGAGAGTGGCTCCAACTGGAGACACAATCCAATGAGAGAACAGCTGTTAGCCAATGTCCGAGCGCAGATATGATTAAGAAGGTGTTTTGGCCAAGTGCTGGGTGATTCACTCTGCTGCTCAGGCCAAAAGCTAAAAGCTGCGGAAAGAATGAAAGACTTGTCGCTTTACATGCAGAGAAGGCAAGTGTCTTCCTGTCAATGACTTGTCGAAACTCAGCACCATCAATACATTGTCACTAAGCAACCAGAAATACATGGTCGGGTGCATTTCACATGAAAGAGTCACCTTTTCTCCAATTTTCGTTTGCTGGAGAGGTTTTCTGGCTTGTAGCTGCACGAGATCGATAAATTCTCCCCCAGCTTTCATATAATCCGTCTCGTCGGCATATTGTTCACGAGGTGGGACGAGGACGCTGGTGACAACCCGTGTGGATGGAGAAACGCATCTCCGCCGCAGGCTTTTGACGGGGGACAACTTGTTCAATCTAGGAAACAATTGCGCTCGAACCGCTTCTGCCCGATCTATGGTTCCCATTCCCTCATCGTGCAAAAATCGTGCACCCGACTTCGACGACGTCGTGGCGCAAGCATTGCCTTCCTTCGAAGACGCGAAATCCAAACCTGCAGAATGAGCCGAAGTGATGCAATCCCTGCTGCTACTCCACATTTCGTGATTTCTCGACTTTCGATGCTTCGTTGAGCACCCCACGAAAACTGCGCCCACAGGTTGTTCCGGCTTCTCTCTCACGGATACACATAATTTCCTACGAACCCCGGGGACTGCTCCTATGGCCGATGAGGAAGGTGAAAAACACCTGGCGGAGCACACACTCTCGAGGCTCAAGCTAGAACTCATGTTGATTGATAATTCTACCATAATGAAGTCGAAGTAAACTACACTGCAAACCGCCTCGCCAGGAAAACGGACGGTACCGTCGGTCGAAATTAGTGCACCGACACAGAGATGATGTAGATGAGCTACCCGGGAGAATGGAATGTGCTGTGCCCCTGGATAAGTATCATTTCAGTTCACACATCGGCACCTCTGTGGGTTATCCGGATGGGTCCGCAGCTGCGTCCCTCGATTCCTTTCCCGCGCAAAGTTTCTAATCCACCTGCGACAGTACACCGACAGACTCTCCAGAGACGGGCCTATTTCACTGCACAGTCTGAATGCGTCACACCTCGAATGCGTCCATGTTCTCAAAATTGCTCCTGTTCGTCTATCCCGGTGAGACTGGCACACACATAGACGGCAGCCTCACAATTGTAGTAGTCCCAAATTCGTAGCTTCCCCGCGGTTTCTGTGGCACTCACGATCTTGCTGCGAGAAGACAAAGCGAAGCCATTTCTCAATGCTTAGTGTTATCGCTCTACAAAATCATTTCTTCCACTGATGAAACTTCCCAATCGAACGTAAAACCTCCTAAAATCGATGTGATTCCGAGACAAAGCTACACTGATATCAAGGCATACGCGTATTGACATTCAAATGCGAGCTGAGGCCATAACTGAAACAATGTCTTTCCCACCGGGATATGGAATGGAACAACTCAATATCAACATTTGGTAAAACGCAGGATCAACCGCACGGAGACCCCATTCATTATCAACAGCGACATCATAAAGTAGCAATCAACCGGGTCTCTTGAACAAGGCCGTACATTGCGACAATCGCAATTTGCAACACAAAGCTCTTCGATTTGCCCTTGTGGCAGTTGTGTGAGTGTGAATTACCAAGGCAACCAAAACTCAGTGAAATCTTACATGGACAAGCATTGCAGCCCTGCCCACACTCTAGCTGCTGCGGCAATGAGGACCTACAGTTCCTCGAGCTTACTGACAACGTGCTTCTTCGGTCCATATCGATCCCTCCACTTCAACGCGAGCTATGACATTGATTATCTTTAAACTCGTGCTAATTCTACCTACTGAGAGGGACGACGAGAAGAGGAGTGGCGACTTCTACAGGGCTCGTCAGTAAAGCACAAATAATTCGTGCGATTCGCCACCTCTTCAGTTCGATAATTTTGATCATAAGACACACCAACAACCAACCCGCCGGCTGCCGACGACGTCTGCCTGTGATGTCATGAGCGTCTACCAACTGTAGGTTTGTTCGTTAAATCATGCACAAGCAAAACATCATCAGTCACTCGGTTGCTACTAACTGGATTCCGCTCCATACTTGTGACAGCAGAATAGGAGCAGAGCACAGACTGACAAAGACCCATATATGCACTCAGCATCCCAGCATTGTGTACGGAGACATCGAAGACCCGCGACCTTGACAGGAGATTCTCGAGCATTGACAGGCAGCAGCGGATAAGGAAAAAAGACCCCAAGATTTGCACGAAATCGGCGTCGTGATCAGCTGGGGAGCGAAGAATCATACCTGTGGCAGGTGGAACATTGGACGGGACGGCAATGCTAGCAGCAGCGTTGCAGCTCGGGGCCGTCGAGCTGCGCCTCGCGCGACCTGCAGCTGCAGCTGGACATGGCGCAGCGATGGAGGCCTCGAGGGAGGAACAGAGAGAGAGCTACTGCTGATGCCGCGATATCTCTATCGTAATTCTATCGATATCGACGGTTCTCTACATGAGCATGCACTGCACAGTCAACATGGTACCGCGCCAACCCCGAGCCAGTCCAGTCCGAGAGAGCCAGTCCAATCCAGTCCAGTTAGCCCGAAACTTGGCGGCCTTCTCGTCGGCTCTGCGCTCACCAACCATGTCGCTGGCACGACGGCGTTGCGGAATGTGTCGCTCTTCCATTCTTCAGCCCGAGCCCGGGTTCCTAATGCCCGAACGGGATTGCGCCTTTGATCCGGATTGGTCCGCTTAATCGCTCCCCGTCTGTGCGAAATCCATCCTCTCTCTCTGTGGACTAGGCTGCCAAAAGGGCCCCAGCGTCTACTGCACAGTCATCCGCTGCACGGTTAGAATGTTCCGTATTCTCGGCCTTTTGGATCGCCTTCGTGGTTCACCGCCGAGGTTTGCTCTTGCTCAAGTTACCGCGTTCTGTATACTGTTTTAGATATTTGCAAAGGTTCAATTATTGCAAATATTGACGACGTTGTTAGCTTTGGTGCTGGCTTCGCATCATAGAAATATATATGAAGTACAGCGGCCCATTGTAATATGATAAACTCCAGACCAGTAACTGGGAGGAAATTTCTCACCGTTATAAATTCCTTCGCCCATACTCCCTTTGCAAATGTTAAGAAAATAGTAAAACTTGTTGTGTTTTTATAAATTTTTGTAAATTTAAGCTGTTTTATATATTTTTTGTTTTTGTTTTTATCATCTACTTTCACGTACTTTAAGGGATATTTGCATTAAAAAATGAATTTTTTTTAGATTTTATTATTAAATTGAAAGAATATGCAATGGAGAATATCATTAGTATTTTGAATTGAATTTATTTTAACGATGTAGAAAAAAGATTTTGCGAAAAGCTTAAAATCCAGAAATATCGCTTACGCTAGGAATAGAACCTATTCTATAATTTTAAATCTTTCACTTTGACCGATATTAGTCAAAATCCAGAAATATCGCTTACGCTAGGAATAGAACCTTTTCTATAATTTTTAATCTTTCACTTTGACCGATGTTAGTCACTATGATCGGAATTGATCGCAAAAATAATAATTGAACGACTCTATTCCCACAATCTAAGGGAAAGCATCTTTTATGATGTTTATATGAGAGGAATACACCTAGAAAAGTACATACATGATTTTGTTTGAGATTTTGTTTGGTATGATTACTGTGTCCAATTGTGAGACAATGGACACGGTTTGGAACGGTTGCTGAAACTTAACAACACCGGCTTTGAAGAAGTGACATAAAATGACTGAAAACATATATCATCATCAACATAAACATATCATCAATAACTTAGCCGACCTCTTTGAATGATTTCACACCTTTTAGATATAATATCTACTATATCTTCATTATCAGATTATATAATGACTCTGCCTAATATATGCCCGAACTAGTTTCTTATGGAATTTCTCGGACTGTTTCTTTAAGCTGGAATCTCGATTCACGTTTAGTATCTGAGGGAGTTGCTGACTTTCTTCTATCCTGGATACGATACACTCCTATGATATCCTAGAAAATTGAATTTAAGAAAGTTTATTGAACATACGCTATTTACACAATTCACGGGATTTCCGCGTAATAAATTACAATCGACACGGGATTTATGAATATTTAACTTATGGTCAACTTGGTGATAGTGGCATGACACAATCAGACTAACAAATCCATAGGTATACGTATGAATCATATACGTATGATTCAACAGTACCATATATTTGTAGGAAATTAACAATTGTATGGTTTGTCTCATGCTTTGACTGTTCTTTGTAAGACCTCCTCATAGGATGAAACTAATTAAGCTTTAAATTTACCAAAAGAATTTCATTTCATCTACATAGTTAGTTTACCAGTTTCTCTTAGCGTACTTGACTTTTTTTATTTTGTAATGCAGTCTCTCGACACGTAATTTACTCTTTCACTCTTATACATTTGTTGGTCTCTAGCCTAATCCTCCACTCTGTAGTTCAGCCCAACGCTCATTGAAGAGTTTTGCCCATAGTCTCTGCAAATATTGTATGCAGAACGATGAACATACAGAGACTTGACTCATGTACACTAAAATTTCATGATATTATATTCAGTGAAAGTCTACTTCAGATTTTTATTCAAGTTTTCTAAACTCAAAGTAGCTGGAAAGAACCAACGAAACACTAAAATTCAACTTTTGGATGAAATGAAGACGGTGTTATGTTCGTACTCAACCATTCTAGAGCAATATGATTGGGTTTTTGGGAATCTAAAAGCCACGTTAGGTACATAATCAGGGGCTGAGTAATCCTGAGGTGAAATTTTCTCCATCATATGAGGTCCATATCTGTGCACTCTTTTATTTAATTAGAGAAAGATAAACGAGACGCATGTAAGCTTGAATTTGGCGTAGAGATCTGGCGTAAAGGCTTCATCCGGATCTGCTGAGTTGACTGTAATCGAGTGTCACCTGATAACAAGCGATGGTAAGGATGATAACAAGCGACTAACATTGTGGCAAATCTGAAAATATCACAATGTACGACATATTCTACTACAAGATACTCGAACTATTTGTGTCAGGTGGCATAAAAAAACAACTTGTGCATCCAAGAAATTATAATCTATGGATGGTTAATTGAAAATCACTAGCTAGAGCATTCTATATAACGATGGAAATAGATATCTTGAGATGGATTTTACAATTATCGAAGGAAATTTATATCACTTCTCTCCTTCATTACCTGTGCAAGTCACTATTTGACTGATAGAGTGTCAAATAATATTGATCTTGAAAACATGCACATTTTAGCAAATATTGGAAAGGAGAAATGACTTAGTTGTTTTACGTTTAAGAGATAATACAATTTGTCATATAAGAAATTTTTTAAGTGGCATATTATGTTGTTATCTTTAGAGCTCATATCATCTAGATGATCATATTGATAAAAAGTCAACTTCTTGTAGATTTGTTCTACCCTGATTATGATCGAGGATTCAACAATTTAAAAATTTAATCAAATTCCCAATAATCATTCCTATTCCTACAGTCTACTCCTGCCCAATTGGGCAGGAGTAGAACCCTCAGATTGAACTCTTGGGAATCAACACCCATCAAAGGTTTCATCTCTAAAGCAAAATCTTCAGTTTCATGTCCCGCACATAGATTAAGATCTCCTCACTATATAAGCTAATGAGCTTGCAACGATTTCAAATCAAGCTAATGAGACCGCCTCAACAAGATTCCGGAGGTTGCCGTAGCATTAGGAAAGTGAACTTAGCATTTGGCTCATTTCCTCTACTCAAGCTATCTTCATCAGAAGCAGATAATGCTTTCTCCATTTTGCTACAAGTTACTCTCTTTGTAATTGGAGTGTTCTTGTCAATTACCCCAATAGGGTGTAGAGATGCACCAAGAATATTGATAGATACAGTTCCCTTCTTCTTCTGCTGACTTAGTCATTGCATCATTCCTTGAAACTTCTTGAAGACATTCCCTCGAGAAAATTGGTATCGAATAGCCCACATGCATCTCCACTATTCGTATCTTATGCATAGATAAATAAGTGGTGTGCAACGTGGAGAAAAGCTAGTTTTGTATAAGACGGACGAATCTTTGATGAGGTAGAGATTACATTCATTGCTCCCATTCCGTAAGGATTGAATCATTCCTATCGATAAAATGAAATCATTTCTTTTTGTCAAAATCAAGATAACACTTCCCAATGGATGCATTCCTAACCCACCTTGAAATCGCGATACGAATTCTTCGTACACGTTTTGGTAGCTAGTTTCTCATAGCTAGCTTGACTTTCCATCCGATTGGCAACTCCTCCATAGTTACACTCTTCACACGATTCGAGGTTGAATTAATACCATGTCTACATTATGAATGCTACTACCAATACTCAAAATATGCAAGGGTATACGTGTTCATGACGATCTAATGTTGAATCTCTACTATGGTCTTCTCATCACTTCTTGCGGACTCATCTTGCTTGTCAAGATTGCTTTTAACATTCAGTATGCAGCCAATTATCTAACTTCTACTCTACTAGTCAATCCTTCTCTTGGCATTACCACCGATCCCGGACCACCCGTTTTCTTCGTCCAAGAATTATTTACTGTTATCACTATTCATGTTACGTTCGCGCCATCAATCTTTTCGAGTACAGTTTCCACTTTACTATGGCAATTAATTGAACTTGCTTCAACCAACTAATAGGTACCGCGATTACAACCCGTCTAGGATGCATACGATGCCAAGTCAGAACATGGTGCGACTCACTTAGTTGCACAAACTTATACAAATTGCAGGGTCAAGGATCCCAATATATATACATACAATATATATATATATATATATATATACACAAGGATCCCAATTTCTTTATTGCTTCATGCTCCATTCGGGCAGTCCGGATACAACTAGATTTTATCTCAATTTTGGGGACTTGAGGGTTGGCGTACCTTACTTTCCGACAACCATTAGTCCGTCAACCGAATTAAATTCTGACAACCATGTAGAGGCCGCTGTTTTAGTTAAACTAAAACTAAACCGCAAGAGAGATAGCTAAATTGGAATCCATAATAAATTCAAACTGTAATATTTGTAATTCAAACACTGAGAACATATCGTGGAGACAAAATTTTAGGCGGCAAAGTTTAGGGTTTTTGAAAATAGTGTCACATCGATATACTCCAGCTTGTCGATGTTTCAACGTCGCTTTTGGGTGCCAGTGTCAGTGTTGTGAGAAGCTTGTGCCAGAGCTCGTGCTTGTCCTTTTCTTGTCATTTCAGGTGCTTTTTGTAGTTGTGGTGACAGCATGGAGTCATGATGGATTGTGCAGGATCCACCGTGGGATGGCCCTTTCAATTCGTTAATCTTGAATTGGTCGAATGAGACGGCCTACATCAAAAGCTCGAGGCTTAACGATATTGTCTCGGGAAAGGCATCTTGTTATAGTGATGCGAAGACGGAATTTGTGACACGTTGCTCATACAAAGGTGGATGGCTAAGCACCGCCGGGAATCGTATACAATGTACTATTGCAAATATGGTACTCGAGAAAGGTGCAAGAAGAGTATGTTTAACTCGAATTGTATTTGAGATCCATCAACAAAAGCAAAATTTGATCCAGGTAGCACGGATAGATTAGATCATGATTCTCATCACAAGGCTGTCAGTGCAGGTTTAGTGCCATTAAACTGCTACCTAATGATCACATTCCACCAGGGACCATGAAGTTGCTATACAAGCATAGAAGACACGTAAATGCTGCAAGTGTAGCTTGTCATGGCACAATGTGTCCGGATAGTGTTGGCTTGCCTTCTCAAATGGTGCACAATTTATCCTCCGAGTGCAGGCAACGACATATTTGTAATATTTTCAATGTATTTGTTTATCGTTCACAGTCAATCGTCTGTCATATTTGTAATATGTACAATAAGTTTGCTGTTATTACAGTTTGTAAAACTTTGACGCTAAGCAAGCACGTTGTCTAATATTTTCTACGTTCTTTTGTCAAGGAGTGGGTTGAATGCGAGTTAAGAAGATATTTAACTCCTCCACAAATTCTCATGTGTGCTGCAAAAGCACTGTTTGAAAATCATCAGAGCTTAGGCTATGTGCAAAGGACCTCTATTAGAGATTATTATATCACATCTGCTTATGTGTATAATATCAAATTGAAACTCGACAAAGAAACTTGGGGAAGGCATGTTCATGATAGAATTAGCACAAAATTATGGATTCATCTCAAGTTGTTCTATATCAGGCACCAGAAAGTGATCCATTTGAACCATTGAGGCTTGCTGTTACAAGACATTTGCTCCTAGAAAGGTTGTTAAAACATGAAAATGGAGGTTGTGTTGCTATGGATGGAACGCATGGCACGCAGAAGTATAAGGTAATATTCTACTTGTACATATGGATGTTTAAATCATCACGCTTCCATGATTATGTATATTCTACCTCACAATTTGCAATATCTGCAAGATACTTGGAAAAATGAAGGTTTGAAGCTTTAACATGTCCAGTAAGACGTTATTGAACTTCTCAATGTGTGCTGTATATGTTCTTTTATATACCTTGATCACGTCTAGCTTATCAATACATAAAAATTGTGAATCATTCATCTTTATCAAGTTTAGCTTAGTATCAATGAAGATGAGTACTTTGTAGACGACTGCTAGCAGCAAACTCATACTTTTATTTTTTGCGATGCAGTATGCACTGTATACCCTTATGGTGTTTGACGAATATGAACACGGACATCCTACTATTTTTGGATTCCTTGAAAATGAAGAAACACAAGATCTGGTGGAATTATTATCTGTAGTGAAGAAGATGACCACACATTATATCACTGGATGGATGTCCTCTTGCTTCATGACGGATTGTGCTGACAATGAGAGACTTGCCCTAGACATTGTTTTTCCACATACCCTTGTATTTCTTTGCATATATCATGTTTGAAAATCATGGACAAAGAAATTGATTGAGATTGTGAGTGATCATGAAAAGAGAGCTATAATGAATGTTGCATTATGATGAATGAATGTTGTTTCAATATCGCAGTGAGATAAAATCATTTTGTCTAATTCCACATTTTGCAGATTTCCATGCGCAGATTACAGTCTGGAAACCACATACACTTCAGCCGTAATACCTTCTTCTAACTCATTGTGACAACAATTCCTCATTGTGGAATTCAGGTGCATTACACAAAGTGACATTGTGATTTGCTGCATGATACCGTGCACAAATTCACTCGTTTTCTATTTCACTTCTTGGGTTGGATTCCTATGATAACTCCGCGCGTGTTGTTATTTAACCTTACCACGCATCTGCTAAATCCGTCAGATGGATGGATGTATTATTCATGGTTTGAACTCTTGTATGTGAACGTGGAAACATAACAGGACAGATTGAGCCAACCACCATCAGTTTTCAACAGTGGTATCTTCTTATGGATCCGATATGTAGCTGAGGTGATTTCTTTAGGATGTTTGAGAGTTCATTACAGTTTTTCAAGAGAGTTAGCCATCCCATTGGAGTATTGACATATGTCCAATGTGAACTCAACTCTTGAGTAAGAAGACTGTGGTACTCATTATAGTTTTTGGATCAAAACCACAACACAGCTATAAAAGAATTATTGGAGTCAAACTTATTATCATAAAATACTCTTGTCTTCAATTATTGACCGCCAATCTTGAGGCAGTGCTCAAGCTGATATTTAGTATGTGAAATGAATTGAAGAGTTGGATGTGACTCCAGTACGCAAGTTTCTCTGTCCTCTCATTACACATTCTGGATCCGTAAGAATTAACTTGTACGATGACTGTGCATACATCCACCTCGAAAAACAAGTGTATCAATAACTGTATCCTTTGAAGCTATCAATCTGTTGATTTGGACATGATTTGTTTGTAGGAATTATTTATCCTAAAACATTAATAGTGAAAGATTGTACACGTTTCCGGTCACAATTGAGAAAGTTGTGTATGAATAAGCCCAGCCGCAAATCTCCGTGAAAATCATGTGAAGAAGTTCTTCCTATTTCCAAATTTCAGAAGTTGAGTATGTTGAAGGTCTGAAGGATTTTTGTGAGAACAAGTAGTAAGATTGATTGTGAGTAGATGTTACAGTTGTTAAAAATTAATGGGGCAATTCATGGGTTTGAAGATAAGTTTTAGACATTGATTTGAATATCATCACGAATACCCAACATCCTATTGATTAGTTTTGTTGAAATAAAAATACTGGTTCTGCAAGCTGCTTTTACAAGCAACATAGTATCTGGTAAGATAGTGAAAACTTACAATCAATTTACTTCATAGGGAATCTCTTATATTATACCTTGGAATCTGGTAAGACGTAAAAAACACCTGATCCATTGATTGCAATAACAATCTCCTCTGCCAAACTAGTGTTTTGAATTTACTGTCATTATCAATCACACCGTCCACAACCCTACGTTATCATGATAATAATTGGATGAACTCTGGTCTCATACATAAGATCTTTACTTCTGAACTAAGCTTACCTATTCCTGTGAAAAAAGAAATACACATGAGCATGTGACTGTAGTGAGTCTAGCAAGAATTAGCTTTTATCCAAAGGAAAATTCAACTTTTCTTGTACCATGCGTAATTTTCTATTTGGTCTGCAAGGTCTTGAACTCACTAAGTTCGTCATTGTCTGAATAAACTATCAAAGTACTATGTTGTAAAAAGAATAAATGCACAAGCAAAGTATTTTGGATAATTTTGTCTTTCTTTTTAGAAAAAACTTATATACGCCTTAGCATACAGTTAGCATGAATTCAAGTGATGTCCCAATATGTAATAAATTGTAATATTTATAAATCATTTATTACAATTTGGATCAAACATAGCTTTTGCGTGAAGAGCGAAAGTTATACATGGATGCTAGATAAATTCATACTTTGATCAAGATTTAAATAGTGCTTATGATCAGCTGCTAGGTATCAAACAAATGATTGAAAACACGTGAAGCCATGTTCTTCAGCCGCGACTTCATCCAACAAGGTCTCACCGCCACTTTCCTCGAGTTTTGTGGATAACATAAAGTGAAGAAAAGATTGCAATCAAAGTATATTAACGAAGACATATGTAGCCATAAGTATGGGAAGGTGCCCCTCAGACGCAAGTAATATCTTCAAATGTTCCACAAAGAACTTTAATCGTCTTCTGAAAGAGTTTGTATGATTCTACCCTTCAAGCTTACTTCGATCACAAAGGCAGTGCAGAATCATCGATTCGAGGAAATTTTTTACTCAATATCCTAAAGCACGAAAGTGATTAAAACAAAATAACTCCATGCCAAACATTCCGTTATGCATTGAAAACTTTGTTCACGGCTTGTATGTTAAGCCTGAAATTCTCTACTCTCTCGGTTCCTTTACCATTTTATAGCAAGGGTTGGTCTTAATGGAAAACGATAGCCGAGCATGCCAAACAATTCCGTTATGCGTTGAAAACTTTGTTCAAGGCTTGTATGTTAAGCCTTAAATTCTCTACTCTCTCGGTTCCTTTGCCATTTTATAGCAAAGTTTGGTCCTTAATGGAAAACAAAAGGCATTTTGTTTAAACCTTTATGGATATTAGAGCTTACATGTTCATTGACACAAATATTTAGATTTATCATGTTCAGAAAATAAAGCTTCATCCATGCAATGGGTTATCACTACATCTAATGTTGGGAAACATTTTCAAGGTGACCGACACAGTTTCAAGCATTGGTTGAATAATTCCACTGTGAGTAACTAACCACCATAGTTACTCACAGATGCCCAGATGTTTTTATAGTCCATCGTTACGCTTTCCGAAGGAACGATGTTTCATCCTCAACCAGTCAGTAACCTGCCCGGTTAGCCTGCCCTCACATTCTTCCATCTTGGGTCAAAAACAGTAGACTCGCATCTAAAAGAAGAACTTCCGAGAAGCCCCGTATAGGAGCTATGTATAAATGTGTGCTGCTCGCACATTCTTCCATCTTGGGTCAAAAAGAGGAGACTCGCAGCGGAAAGAAGAACTTCCGAGAAGGCCCCTTGTAGGAGCTATGTATAAGTTTGTGCTGCTCGCACATTCTTCCATCTTGGGTCAAAAAGAGGAGACTCGCAGCGGAAGAAACTTCCGAGAAAGCCCCTTGTAGGAGCTATGTATAAGTTTGTGCTGCTCGCACATTCTTCCATCTTGGGTCAAAAAGAGGAGACTCGCAACGGAAAGAAGAACTTCCGAGAAGGCCCCTTGTAGGAGCTATGTATAAGTTTGTGCTGCTCGCACATTCTTCCATCTTGGGTCAAAAAGAGGAGAATCGCGGCGAAAAGAAGAACTTCCGAGAAGGCCCTGTATAGGAGCTATGTATAAGTTTGTGCTGCTAAACCCATCCAACATGGTGTTCAGTGTGCTCAAATCTAAACCCTTGCGCCGACATCATTGAGTGAGTTGCCAACGAATCGAAACATGGAGCTTGTACAAGATTGACATTGATTGATTTTACAATGTGCGACTGTAATCTACGGAGATTGTGCTTAGAATTTAGCTCCTTCGTCTCATGTCTTGTCCAGAGCACATATTCGTATCACTTGTGGCAAAACACAATACAATAACAAGCCGTAGTTCAACATCACATTATACAAAGTAGAGGTCAAAATTGATTTGTGGGATAAAAGTACAAGAGTCAAAACTGTACAGCAGACCCCGATACCACAACATGCTTCGATCCAGTCCCTTCACTGAGGGGAAGGACATTCTCAACAGAGTGATAAAGAAAACTCTTCCGCCTAGTATGAACCTAATTAACTGCCTATGCACCAGTTTGGATTGCCGTCAGCACTAACTAAGGGACAGCCCGCCATCGGCACTTATGTAACACTTTGTACACAGAGCTGCGCCTGCTGCAGAAGGTACTTCGAATTCAAGGAGTAGTCGACATACGATACTGCCTCGCATGTAAATCACACATGGAAAATTGACAGTTGTCAAGTCCATTACTCTTTGACAATCAGGCCTATGGGGCAATGATCACTGCCCATAACATCTGGCCGAATATAAGAATCATGAATCTGATTAATCAAGCCCTCAGATACCAGAAAATAATCTAACCTCCATCCTGCAACACATCAGAAGTACACATCAGATATCCCAGTGTGTGCATGAAACTGAACCATGTTAAATCGTAACCTCCGTAGGCTTGCAGAAGCTCATACATCTTCACGACAAGACTCTGTTCGAGCATATTCGAGACAGGGTACAGAGAATAATCCTTACCATTATTCTTCACACGCGCTCCTGATCTGTATGCCCAATAGGTGTATCCCAATACATTTGGATGTTGTTTCCTGAACGTATCCACCAATCCCTTGTTTAAAAAGTTGGTCTTGAATGATTCCCTTTCCTCCTTTGTAAATCCTGCGCTTTTACGATTTCCCTGTTGGGACGCAACAACGATGGGTATGTGGTGAGCTATAATGATCAGATCGTAGATGTTAAAACATGTCAGGAGAACATCAGACAGAGTAACTTCGAGTAGTTGGGGTTCGGAGTCTACATCAGGATTGCTGATGTCAATCTCATCGTTTGCACAATTCAGATCGCCAGTATAGATAACTGGTTTCTTCTTCTCCAATTCCTGCAGGAAACACGAGAGATATTCGAATTTTAGCAAACTAGACCAAATTCCTCGTCAGGATACTTCTTCAAAGAACAATTTGAAAAAGAATCCGAAACCAACAACCACGAGACATATCGCCTAAAATATATGTAATTCGCACGGTGAGCCAAATTGTCTCTCAAAATTTGAAGAAAGAGCAAAGGACTAACGATTCATGCTGGCAATCTTTGAACATAACTTCGCTGGTGTATATGTGTTCTCAGTTCAGATATAGTGGCAAACTAAAGTAGGCAATTTCTGACTTACTTTCAAATATTGACTCAAGGCCGGATCCCATTCTGCGGTCCGATATGCCTGCATCGCCAGTTTCACAGTGGTAAAGAAACCCATATTTGTGAAAGAGAAGATTGTGAAAGCATCATCTGCTTTGTTACTGTTTAGTTTCGAGGTACCTCATAACTCTTCCAGAAATTTGTCTTCACCACAACCTACTTCGATTTCAAACTCCAAGAAAATTTCCACTTACACAGTGGCCATATCCCATATATTGCAAAAGCCTAATCGAATGATTGAGGCAGATGGTCGTAAACTTGGTTTCGAAATCGTGACTTACCACGCGGCAAATCATTTAAGATTTAAAAAAAAAGACAGAAATTAGAAAACAGCATACATAATACGGTCGGCTATAAGCTGCTTTCTTTCTGTAACCTGAAAACTCACCAATCTCACAAGTTTTTCCCCAGAATTGGGAATATAACCAGTGACAAGATAGAAGGATTCGAATTCCGCCGTGATCAGACGTCCCTCGTTATCATGATCTGGTATACCCATACCATACTTAACAGAAAGGGGTTCGACCTGCAACATAAAGAAATTGCAAAGATCATAAGAAATTGCAATGTTTTCAGTTGTGTTTCAGTAAATGTCCTACATGCTAAATCAACACATTCCATCACAGACAACATAAACAAAATATAAGGTTCAGATGAGAGGAAATTTGAGACACAAATGGAAGACGCGTACTCACCCTTGAAATGATAGCTGTTCCAGAATAACCAAGTTTTGCGGTGCTGCAGCTCCAGCTTCCAAATGTGTATCCCGGAAGCAGTGAGGACATCTGCTCCACGTCCTTGGTCTGTGAAGCAATCAACCAATAATTTAACATTAATCTTCGCGCCGGCGACTAAGGTAAACATTAAACATGGAAGGTAAACCTTTCTGCGAAAATCTAAGTAGCACACATATAAACGATTCGTCGTGATGCAGCATAGTACAGCGCCAGGTGTCTGCGTTTATCCTCAATCAACGGAAGACAAACCTGTAATTTGGTCTCCTGTAGGCAAAGGACATCAAAATCTTCTTCTTTGGCAAGCTGCAAAAGCAGACCCTCTTCGGTTTTCTTATCTTTCTCTTTTATCAAGGCACGCAAGCCATTCACATTCCATGAGATCAGTTTCATGGCCTTCACGGAACTTGGCAATGATGCAGATCTCATAGTTTCCGGATTGTAGGGAACCCAGTCCGCCTGCGGCTTCTTATGTGCCAGTGTAAGCCAAGGCTTCTTCTGATCACCATTGATCTCCACAATCTTCTCTTCCACGATACGGATGCTGATTTCTTCCTGCGAATCTTTGGCTTCTTGTTCCAGCTTCCTCTTCTTACCCTGATCCTCCCATGCGGCGGCTGATGCCGCATCGTTGGTTTTGACGACAGTCGAGGATTGAATCTTCCTCTTCGTCACTGCTTTCACGACAATTTCATCATCCAGAGTTCCATTTGACTCGGAATCGGTCTTGGATAATCTCCCCTTCCCGCTCATCGAAATATCGACGGATGTTCTCTTCGGCGATGCTGATACCGCCGTATCCTGTTGTGCCACTTTCAGGTCCGAATAAGCAGCATCCTTGCGCTTTTGGTTCACAATCTTCGCAGGGATGTCTATTCTCCGTGACATAGCCTCCGCTTCGGCCTCACGATTCTTGTTCTCAGCTTTCAGAAGAGCTCCTTCCAGAGACTCGGCATCGCTTGAAGTTTCTTGAATGGCCGCAGCTTGCCCTGAGACATCCCAGTGACACATAAATGAGTAGCCAGTGGCGTACCGTGCACAATGAGTACCCAGTCAAGCATGCAAGTACAAACTGTTGAGATCTTATGAAGAACCCCCAGACTTACTCGAACTCATCAACGTAGAACTTTCGCGATTTGCCAACCACTCCTTGACAGTGGAGATGAGTTCGTCCTTACGGCCGGCCGTGGGCTTGCTCATCAACCTAGCATGCACATTAAAGGGTTAGAGCATCGAACACAAGTCGGCGCAAAAGGATGACGGTTCTGCATCATGCACCAATTCCTGGCGGCATTCCAGAGAGGGTGGGACGAAGGAAAGACACTCACTTCATGTACCCTCGGAGTTCAAGCACAGTCAGTGTCGTGAGCTTGTTTGATTTGTCGAGATCCCACAATCGAGCTTCAAACTCTGTGGCGGCGGCTGATTCTTCAATTCCCTGGCGGAGTTCCATTTCCTGCAGGACCAAGTTAGACGCATTAGTGTTTTATCTGGACCTCCTCGACAGGCTGCGCTACAATTCGAATGCAGAACGTCAACCATACAGAGGTGCATCTTCCAGGATTCGTACGTCATCAGTGGAGGTCGCTTCTCGTGCCACCCCTTTGGTTTTCTTTCTACCAATTGCCTGGGTAGACAGAGAGATATGAGTCTCCTTCCTCTGCCTCAATTGCCTGCCACCCTCGCGGGAAGCCACCGAAGTCATCTCTCCAGAGGTTCCAAATGTGATACCGCACTTGACCTGAAAATTGCCGCTGTTTACCCCACCCTCCCTTCCCGAGGAGCAGTGATGGAAGCTCCACGATTCTGCCCGACTGCGATCGACCTTCCTCGAAGGCAGCAAACGTCCGGCGTGGCCGCCACTGCGATAAACCCCAAGCGACTCCTCAGCATTTCCAGAAAAAGACAAGGAGGCTAAGGCTGCTCACCATCTTCGCACACAATTGTGAGAGTCCGTGCGAGCCAAGGAGCTCTTGGGCCTTATCAGCACAAGGATCATCAGCACCGGCCACAGACATTACACGAGAACACACCAGCTTGCAATTCCATATCTTACTCACGTCGAAGCATTCCCTGAGTCGAGTATGCACGACGATCGGGGGTCAAGAGGAATGAGCGAGCACCTTGTACAACACACGCCCCCTGGCAGCTCCCAAACTCGAGCTCGGCGCAGTGATCCCGTCCAATTGTGCGGCCTCGCTGCACCTGCAGCAGCACTCAGGGAGGTCGAACAACAAAAACTACGCCGACCAAGGCAGAGGCGGCAGCCCCGGGCCAAATCAGGGCAGGCAGTCGCGGGGATGCATCTCAAAACCGGCGCGCACTGCGAGGACGCCCTCGTCCTAGCGACAAATGCACCCGCGCAGCTCCCACTCCCTCCGAATGACAACGACGAGAAACGCAATTGCGCCACCAGAGAAGACGGAAGAGCCAACATCAAACACGGTCACTGCTCAACTCCACACTCCACTCCACTCGGCGCGTACCAAAAGGGCGATCCTGCCGCTTCCACACCCCGTATACAACCTGTGCAGCTGCTGCTGCTGTTGCTATTGCTCCTCCTCCTCCTGCTGCCGCTGTCCTCTCACATTGCTGTACAGGAAAGCGCAAAATCGCGCAGACTCTTCTCTCCCCAAATTGAGATTCTCCGAGCGCACGAATTCATTACTGGGCCAGTATCGTCCCGCGGTTGCCACTTCCATGCCCTCGCTCTCTCTCTCTCTCTACTGCCTGCCTGCCTCTGCCTCCCTTTACTCTGCCCCCGGCCCTCTCCCCTCGCCCCAGCCTCCACCCCCCCTCGCCCTCGCCCTTGGCCCCCCTCCGAGGCTGCGTCCTCCCAGGGCAAGGAGCGAGCAGCCAGCCAACCAACCAAAATCGCCCTGTGCGTACTAGGCCGAGGGGACGGACGATCACTACTCGCTCACGACATCAAACTACACGCTCAGGTTGATTAATGCGCCGGACACGCATGGCTGAATTTTCTTGCCGACGACAGGAAAGCGGATTAAAAAAGAAAATTTGCGGCACGAAGGCGTCGCTCGAGATAAACCCCGAAGAATGCGCGATTTGATTGTGGAGCCCCATTCCCGTCCCATTCTCTGCCCCTTCTGCCCTTCCCTTCGCCTCCATCCTCCATCCTCCTCCAAAGTCCAAACTCCTCGGCCCTCCTTCTCCTTGTTTCATTCCTCCTCAGGCGAATCCTTCCCTAGGGTAGGAAAATTCTCGGAAGCGAACGGAGGTTCTGGGCAGCGGATGTTGTACTTTTCCCTTCGCTGCGTGCAGGCGCTCGGGCAGGCCAGGCACACGAGTGTGTGGGCCAGCCCTGGCTGCCCTGCCCTGCACTGGCCCTGCCCTCGCCCTCCGCTCCCCCTGCTGTCCCCACTCCGCGGCCTCTAGCCTCTAGACCCGTCGACGGCCTCCGGCTGTCCCTACGCTGCGCGACTACCCTTTCCCTCCCTCCCTCGGGCGTCCGGGCCGTACCCTCCTCTCCTCTCCTCCTGCCTCTGCGTGCCCCGCACTGTCCTGCGTCCGGGATCGGGGTCGTTTAGGGTTAGAGCCCGCGGGGCGAGGCCGAGGCCGGTCGCGACGGGGTCCAAAATCCAACCGCCCCGCGGTCCCTTGTCGGGAGAATTGGACCGTACGTTGGCCGCCGGCGAGCGCCAGGCCGCGCCGTCGCTAGAGCTCGGGCCTCCCAGGCCGCGACGAGGGCCGGTCGCCGTCGATGGGGCGTTCGATAAGAGATGGGAGATCGAAGCTGCTGCGACGGGGCCGGGTCAGATCTTTTCCAACCGCTGCGCGGAGTGCCACCAGCAAGAAGAAGAAGAAGAACGAGAATCCACAGGCCTGGGGGGGCATAAAGGGGCAGGGGTCTGTTTCTAGCCAAAGATCTGCATCTGGGACTGGGACGGGACGAGGAGAGGAGAGGAGAGGAGGGGAGAGGAGAGAGCGAGAGCCAGCGAGCTATGATGAGAACAGTGGTGATGTAGTTCGTTGCCCGCCATAGTCGTTCCAGTCTTTGGCGTGCAAACGTCACGAATAATTTAATGGGTTTTTGACCACAGATCTGGAGACAGGTTCTTGCTTCTTCTTCCACGCCGCAGGCGGGTCGCAGGTGCATAGATACCCAGCAGCCACCGGTCTTCCACGGGGCTCCACTATTTTATTCAACTCTTTTGCGCCAAGGCATGACACTTGTAGTGACCCAGGGTGGTGACTGCTTGTTATCAAGGCATCTGAAACACTTTGTCAGGAGTAGCACTGCTGATTGCCAGTAGCGGAAGAACGCTTGGAATTTCCTGCCCTCTCATAGTTTCCCCGTTTTGTTGCATCCCCGGATCGCATTAATGCCCTCTCATGCCGACTTCCCATGAATTCCGATGATTCGTGTTGCGTCGGGGTACAGTTGTGAGCTCTCTCTCTCTCATCGTGTCCGGGATTTATTTTTCACCGCACTTTACAACGTTGCTCGAGCCGGATGGTTTACGATATCCCCTACCGTGGCCGAACCGTCGTCGATTAGGTCACGGAGTGGTCACTCTCCCCGTCTTCGAGGAGAGGGTCTACCATCTACCGTAGGGTCAAGCACTCAAGGCCTTCGTTGTATGGGAGCACCTTAACCTTCATTTGAGTTGGGCATTCGAAGGACGAGCGGATCGGATCCTAGTTTGTACGCCAAACATTTTCACCACTACAGTCACCACATTCTCACCCTGTAGATAAGCCCCGATCTAAGGATTCTGTATCGAGTGGATAATGGACAAGTGCTTGCTTGCAGTTTTGACCAGTGTACATTACTCCACACTTGTTCTTTGTTCATGGTCATTCATTCCCTCCTTGATCTATGATGAGGTTCTGGGAGAATCATTCGGGTTCATGTAATGAGAACCGTCCATGCTTCTGGAAGAAATAGTGAAGCCACTTCACTAATGAAACATGAGTCCGAGCACACCCTAGCTAATTTCAGCTGGTGTCGCTTCATTCACGTGATGAATATCTTCAAGTCAAAATTTTGTTCGGACCAGGTCTCAATCCTTCACTATGAGTCCTTCACCATTCACAATGTTGGACCAGAACTTTTCCGTGTATTGCAAGAAGAGCTTAAACGCAGAATAACGTGGGAAACTCATCAACATGTTTTTACAAGAAATATGATAATCATCCACACTTGAGAGACCTCCCTTCACCTTTCTCTGATGCCGTGCTTTCTTTTCACCAGCTTGTTGAGAAAACAATGCCCACGCTCACTATTTAATGATCGCATTCGACTCAGCCCTTACACATCCAATCATATCTGTTTATGAGGGAGATGTCCACCTTCAAAATGAAAAGTTATTTACTTGTCGCAAGAGACAACCCAAATTATTGGCTACTGGCGTAGGCCTGTTGTGATGCCATGATTAAACTTTTCTGCTTGCAATCTTGCTCACCATCGTGCCCTTCCCTAATGATATATGTAAGACTCGGATCCAATTTGACCAGCTGCTAAAAGGGAATCCAAACCCCAAACACTCATACGCTCTCCAGTACACAGACTCCCACGTTTCTCTGCAGTGCGGAGGCTTCCCTCAACAAGAGAAAGCATGCAAAACAGATTTATTCAACTGGACTCGATAAAGGGAGTAGAGAAAAACGTTGATCAAATTGACATATCTCGCTGGCGGGAGGAGGAAGTCATCAAAACATGAAAAGTGAAATTCACCCTGTTCAGAGCATATATATATATATCATGCTCAAATATCATGTTCCGTTAATTGTTTTCTGAAGTGTGCTGTGAACGGAAGAGTAGACGAGCCATAGGGCCGGACTGGAGATCACACTGGGAAAACTGTGTCAATGCGGGCTCGTTCTGACAGTCCTGGAGCCGAGCATAGTAAAAGGTTAAAATATAGTCGAGGAAGCCATTCACCAATATTAAACAGCTCCACGAGGAGCTCATCGTGACGAAGTCTCCTGCGGACACAGCCAGATGTTCCTACTAGTGGAAGAGATTATCTTTCCTCTCCATGCCACCTCCTGTTCCTGCTGCAGTGGGTCGCCTCAGATTCCCGGGGGCATCAGTTGTGGATGAAGTAGCGATACGGATGGGTGAATATATTTTCCCTGGTCGTTCATGTCTTTGCGGCTAAACGAGAATTTCAAGGGCTTGGTCTGATTCTATATAGTTGGCAGATGCTCGCGTGTTCTTGAGATCAGTGTAAGCAGCAGAGAGATCATGATGACCTCTCGCATCCGCCCCCTAAACACACGACCACCTCGACATCGAATGGTGTGATCAATAGTTTCGGCCAACTCCTCTCGCCGGCCCCCATTGGATGGAGCTCGACTATGCTGGGTCAGAACCACTGTGCACTAGTGCAACTTCTCGGTCCATGGTTTGCAGCAGATGATGCATTGTGAGTATGGGTCGCTGAAAATTTTCAAGGCGTGCACTAGCACGAACTTCCTCTAGCCATTCACGTTCCTTTCAGCTGTGTCAAACTCTGTCATGCACCAAAAGTAGAAGTAATTTCTTCTCTGCGATAGTATCTTCTTTCTTCTTCAATTTCCACGAAGCATCTATCTTCTGCCATGGTTACAACAATGCCAAACCCACCACACTCTTCAATGCACCGTTCGTTACCCATTGGCTCTTAGCGTAGGTCACAACTATACGCTTATAAAAATACTAATTATCTCCAGATAGTAAACCTGCTTGAGCCGCAAGTGTGTGCATGGAATTTTATGCAAAGTATAGTACCGATGCACCCGGCCTTGGAGTATGGATGCTGGTCAAAACTCCGAGGCAGATTCTATGACTCCATCCATTTGTCATACTTTCCAACCTTCTTGAATCGGAGTTTTTTGCAACACACATTTGTCGTTTTGGCATCAGACGTCCAAACCTAGGTTACCCACTGAGCTCACCTCTCGAGTTCGAAGAGTTCCTGTCTGTGCTCGGTTGGATGCAGACGCTCGTCAAGCGCTGTCTGAAAATTTAGTAAACATCCAGACAAACTACGAGGCCATCTGCTTGCGCCACACATCTGCTTGCTGAATGCTAGAATGTGAATTGCTCTCCACCGTCCATTCACAGCCACTTTCCTATGACTTCGTACTTACAGGAATAAATTTTGTTACACTTCAACGTACCACCAAGGGACTTCATGCAGGCCACTCAAGAGGCAGCTCTACCTTCAAGAACTCGAGAAGAGTGAGGCTCCTCCTCCTCATGCTCGAGCCATTGCCAGCTCGAACAAGAGAAGAGCCCATGCCGGCCGAAACATTGATGCTCTTTCCAGTGGAGTGTTGCTCACACCGACTGGTTTCATTTTTTTTAAGGATGTTCGGACTTTGCTTTTTCCTTGAAGTTTTTCCACAGCCAAACCCAATTTTTGCAAGCTTTTTCATAATCTACTGATTTGAATCCATCGCATGGGCCTCTATTTGCTTCACGTTTACTCATAGCGTGGGGACATTGTTCTATTTTAGTCTGAGAGGAAGCGAATTTGGCCCAGTGTGCAGACTATTACGGAAGTGTGTATTACTTGGAAATTAATAAACGAGATATAAAGATATTGTTTTCACCAACAAGATTTACCCCTCAATGGAATAAACTGTGAAGTCTTGAAGTTGCGATGCCAAGAACCGCGCCATGTTAGACTGGGGGTAGATCCAGCGCATGAGACTTATCAGTTGTACCAGTTGACTCTTCTCCTTCTTCTTTCTTTGCGCGGAGCAAACCGGGCAAAACCCGTCTTAGAGATTAAATCAATTATGGAG